GTTGGTTAGTTGTGTTTTTATGTCGTGGGTGTGCTCGGGTGTCGCAGCAGCGTTGTGCGTCGGCAGCGTCAGATTGGTATAAGGTCCAGCCCCTTTTCTTACCCAGCGCCACCTCCGCTAATTACGTCAAGACCGCACCCTCCCTCCCTCTTGATCGGAGGACCCGGAACATTTGAGGTGGAGTCGGGTCTCCTCGTTCGTGTTCGTTCTAGGTTTGCACGAACCCTTTTTTGTATTCTTCTTTCCTGTGAGCCTTACATGATATCCCAACATACCAGGCACCAGGCACCAGGCACCGACAATTTGGGTCAGGTTGCCCGTACACGCCCTTCGGCCCAATGGACCCGAGTGCCAGAGTCGCTGGCTGGATCTGATCCTCCAAGGCCCTCCCCAAGACTCGAGACAAGACCTCTTGACTGGCCTGGTGCCACTGCGTCGGTGAGCACTGAGCTGTCGCAGCTGGCCCTATCAGCCGTCTCATCCGCAAACGACAAGTGCCTACAGTATACCACGCCTTGCCATGCCTTGCCATGTGCATGTCCACGCCCACGTCCATACCCACGCCAACGATGCCGAGATACATCTCTGCTGACTTTGCCAAAGCCTCTCCCCCCCTTCGCCTAGCTCCCTTGAAACTTTATTGATTTGTCGCATCACCCGCCTGCCGGTGTGCTGGCACGGCCCCCCAATGTGCCGGATGATCCAAGAAGCCAAGACCTCTTGTTGGTCGAGTCACGGTTCGAGAGGGCTGAAGATCATGGCTGACCTCTGACATCTGACCTCTGACCTCTTGCTTGTTAGGAGCCAGTGAACAGTCCACATGGTTTGGATTACGCTCGGGAAATATACACGGGATAAAGGGATCACTCTCTCCCACAAGACACGGATATGTCCTCGGATATGTCCATACAGGTACGAGGTACGTGTTCAGCGAAGCGATACACGGCTACGAGGATGACCATGATGAGACCCGCTATTGCCCACGAGTTTCTCGGGTTCGACCGGCCCTGCTCTGTTCAGCGCATCCAAGCCAGCAGGTTCTCTGTGTCTGCTGTGTCTGTTGTGTTATACCGAGGTTTCCAAAAAGGGATATCTTCACTTTTGGCGTGGTGGTCCAGTGATCCATTGATCCAGCAATTAGATCCCACAATGGTTCCAGGCCCATGCCTTCCTACTCGTGGATTCCGTCGGAAGTCCCTCAGCACTCGTTTCAGTATCGGTGTTGTGTTATTTGTTATTTTCTCTCTGTCCTTTCCGTTCCATCTACGATGACATTGTGGAAACCCTCGACTTCCCACCCCATCTCTCAAAACGGAGCAGGGCACCATGGGATCAAGAGACATCCTGAACCTGTTTGGGTACTTTCTGCTGACCATCCCTCTTCACTCGCTCGCCGGCTCGCTGGCTTGCTCAGTTGCGGTGTTGTCCTCCATGTGCGGCTGTCGGAATCAGATGTGATGAGATGAGATGATTCGCCTACGGGTCTGATGAGTAGGTGAGGCGAAGGGGCAATCACAATCACAATCACAATCAGTTCTTGTCGAGCCGCGCATCGATAAACCTCGGGGTTTCAGAGGGGGTACATATCCTTGTGATACGATACTGCTCACTGGGTGTCTGGCTGGGTATCAAAACATCTGACTATCTGGCTATCTGGGCGTCAGCCAGCCAGCCAGTCAATCAATCAACCAATCAGTTGATCGGTTAACCAGTCAGCGTCTTCGTAACACGATGACCCTCTGCTCCGATGTCTCCGATGTCTCTGGTGTCTCTCTCCCGTCCTCCTTTCCCTTCATTCCTTTCCCAGACATGGACATGAACCCTTTTCTGACCCCGAAACCCCCTTATACCTTACATATATATGTTTCTGTTCTCCTTGTTCAAAGACCAATCAAGCCCGATCAGCCCGTGCAGCCACGATCGGCATGGTCGACTAATCTACCGATCGACCAATCGACCATGTGAGAGAGTGCGGGAGTGAGCAAGTGCGTGAGTGAGGGCGACAAAGTCTACGATACAAGTAGGGGCATGGATTAAGGATATCGATCGAACGACTGATTGCATTTCGTCACAGCATCAAAGGATCAAGCACCACAGGACCAAGCATTGGAGGATCGGTGAGTAAAGATCAAGAATGCCCATCTGGTTACAGAAGCACATAGAGCTCCTATGATGAGATTACCAAGAAACACCTCACCATATCACATCGACCTTTTCACCTCTGAGTGGAGAAACTTTTAATATCATTTTTTAGCAAGGGGAAACCTTTGGGCAATCTTTCCCCGGGTTTCTAATTCGAACATTTTACCACGCTATGCCAATGCAAGTGACAAAGTTTCTCTCTCTTGAAGAATCTGCCCTGTCAGAGAGTTATCCACCATGATACATATTTACAATGTGTCCTCGTGCCGATGCATATGTCTGATCTATCCTCTCATTCCCTGCCGAGTTACCGACCCAAGTCCGGAGGGGATCCTCAGTATTGCCTCGCAGCCTGCTGGCAAGCCTTGAGTTGTTCCATGTACCATCCGCAAATGGTCAGGTTACCCTGGTTCTGGTTCATGCAGTCGGTGAAGCTCTTGATGTCAGCGGCACAAGGGCCCGTGGCCTCGGCGGCCGAGTTCGATTGACTGTACAGAGCGTTGGGCATGGCATCACCGGTCCGGGCGTAGGCGTCGGTGGGTTGCTGTTGTTGCTCCGCAGGCGCAGAGTAGGAGGAGCCGCCGCCACCGCTGAAAAGACCACCGATGGCGTGGCCGATGGAGGATCCAACTGCGACGCCACTACAATTTCACGCACGGGTCAGTAAGTGTATGACAATGAAGTCAATTGCTCCCATCTCTTTTTAGACCCGATCCCCGTTCGAAATACATACACCCCGACGGATGCATAACTCGTGTGGGCACTCCAGGACGGGGGGCGGAAGCGAATTCACTCACGCAGCAGTGCTAGCCATCTGACCAAAGAGCCCGGGGCCCTGCGATGCTTGAACAGGAGGAGGGGCGTGCTGTGCGGGTGCACTCGGGGCAGTCGTAGTCATAGGACGTTGTTGCTGCTGTGGCGCTACAGACCGAGGTGCCGCAGATGGAGCTGTCGGTCGCGACGGAGCAGGTCGGGAAGCACCTCCACGAGAACGAGGCATTTTTGCGGTGTTTTTCTGGTGAACGAGCGGTCCGAGTTGAGTCTGATCTGTGGAAGTCGAGGGAGGACGAGAGATCGATGAGATATGTGGGTGAGATGGAAAATTTGGCGAGGAAGAGGAGATGTAGAGGAACTGGATCGAACTTTGAAGCCGGCGAGACGTCCATTCAATGCCAAGATCGCAGTTGGGACATGCAGATTCCGTCCCCTGCCATTGGTCCAATCTTGCCACCAAAATCGACGTCTCGCTGCAGCCTGCAAGTGGCCAAAGTGTTAAGAGTGCGAGCTCGAAAGGAGCGAATACAGAACAATCTCAAGCATTGATAATGACTTGTTACAAAACCACAACAACCTCGTCTTCCCCCAAGCTACTATGTGAAAAGCGATTGCAGTCACCATAATTTCAATCCAATTTTTGCCCAGCCAGTATTCCCACTCACTCGCCCTATCATTTCCAATCTCACCTCAAAGTCCCTTGTGCAATCTGAGCCAAACCCGATGCATCGTCCAATTCATCACGCCGAAGGTGGTGGTGGTGGATAGTACTCGTGCACGCCCGGGGGTGGCGGGGGTTGATCTGGCGGTGGAGGAGGAGCCTGTGCGTCGGGAGGTGGAGGGGGAGCAGCAGCGCCCCCGTACTGCTGCAAGAAAGAGCTGAGTCCAGGAGGAGCTGGCGGAGGAGGCACGCCGTATCCTGGTTGAGCATCATAGCCAGGATAGCCACCATATCCGTAGTTTTGCGCAGGAGGTGGCTGTTGTGCTTGTTGTGGTTGCTGCCAGGGGGCTGATGCTTGCGCAGGTGCAGCACCATATCCACCTTTAGCATCTCCTCGACTCTGAGCCCATGGAGGAGCCGACGAGTCGCCGTCTCGGTGGCCATAATCACGATTGTCGTAACCACGTTGACCATACTCTCTTTGGCCGTAGTCTCTCTCCTGTCGTTCTTGTCGGTCTCGCTGCCAAGGAGCAACACCACCGGTCGGCTGGCGCGCCCAAGGACGCGAATCGCCTCCGCTTCCAGCTGCGTACGAGTCGCCCTGATCATAGCCGCCAGGAGCAGCCTCGATGCGACCCGCAGGACCATTGCCGGATGGGTTTCCAGAAAGCTCTTGCATCAGATTCTGTCAGGTGTCAGAGAGCGCGATCATAACAAAATCCTCGTATAACGTACCTCCATCTCTCGGTCGACGGCGTCTGTAGCGCCCAGTCGTCTTTGTGGTCCTCCATATCCTCCAGGGATATTGTTCCGCATATCGGTCCCACGTTGTCGGTCTGGGCAATCCCTCGCCATGTGGCCAGCGTTACCACAGACTCGACAGATGATGTTGGCTGTGAAGTTGCGCTGCTCGGGGCAGTCATACTTGCGGTGGCCAATTTGCCCGCCTGGTTATTTCAGTAAGAGCTGCTCTATCGCACCGGGGGGTGCACTTACAATTCTGGCATGCTTGATTCTCATCGTCACGCAGAGTACCATTGAGCGCCGCCAATTCGCGCAACTGATTCCTCTTTAGTTCGTTTTGTCCTTCCGGGATGGACGCGGCTGTTTCGATGACGTTGTGAATCAATGCTTTGGCCTTGTTGACCTTCTCTTCCGTGTCTGCCATGATGAGACAGTGTAGATCTTCTTCCTGGTTGCTAGTATGAGCTGCGTCAGATCGTCCTTTGCCCTCTTTGACAGAGCCTTTGCCTCGAATGGCGATTTTGGCTCCTGATTCGGATTCCATCTTCTTGAGTGTGTTGCCACGAGGTCCAATAAGTAGTCCGACTTTGCAAAAAAGAAGCTAAGTGTTAGTGTGGAGTTCTCGAAAGCAGAAAAGTGTCTCAGGGAAATGGAAATAATGATAATGGTTAGTGCAGGATGCTACGTCTACCTCCTGGATCTCGAAGAGCAGACGGCAGCATGTGGAACAGCGAACAAAGCAAGGGGGTTTGTAGCAGAGTTATAGGGTTAGTAAGCATACTGAAGTTGATCTCGGGATAATCGTTGACCGGCACGTAGACCTTTTCCTGTGTCTTGGTCGGGCGCCTATAGTCAGAAGGCGGATGGTAGTTGGGGATGGTCTTCATGGCCTTTTCAATCAATTTGTGTCGCTCTTCTTCCAGGCGCTTGCGGTAGCGGAACTCGCGAGTGTTGACTCGACGGCCGAAGTTATCGTACTGAGGTGGCGGCGACGGGGATCTGACAATTGTTAGGGACGAGGCGAAAAAGGGGGGTGCGAGGGTGCGACTCACCTGTCTGCTTCCGCGGGAACGACATCGTTGATCCGTAACTTCTGGCTGATCTCCTCGATGCGGAGGTGAAGGGCGTATGCTTCGAGTTGTTCTGCTGTCATGTTCGCCTGAATCATCGTCGGGAGGCCCATGAGCCCTGCCGCCTTGTTTTCGCCGGCTTCACCCCATCGATTGCGCTTTCTACGCCTCTTCACGCCGTCGGTCTCAGGTTCAGCTGTAAGCTGGTTAGTCGAGAGCATGTACTCGCAATCAAGCCACGAACCTCTGGCAGGACTGCGCCCACGCTTGCTCGAGTCACCCCAGGCTGGAGAGTCTGCAGAGCTGTCATTTTGCGAGTCACCATTGCCTTCGCCTCCAAACCGACGACGCGTTCCGAGGGGGATGTTGTTAGAACCTGTGATGCCTTGATTGCGCCACGACATCTTGAGCGCAGAGTCAAAGGAAGAGTATTAGAAGAGACACGACACCTGATCATGCGCTTCCTATGAAGACTGGTAGTCGATGCGACTCAACGACGGGTTCAGGGTGCAGCTGAAGAAACAGAAGGGGAAGAACTTGGAGTCGCGCCAAGCCTGCGCTAAACTGCTTATGGAAGAGGAACTACGCCCTCGAGAAAACCTGACACGAGGCTGACAAAGCACGCAAGGCTAGTATATGCAGCGAGGCTGAAATATGCAGGACAGGATGGGATTTATCTTTCTAGTCAGATTTATTTTTTCCTTTACAGCAATTCAACCCCACGGCTCTGTATTATGAAAAGATGGCGTTCTGATTCTGTGGCTTTCTTCACTGACGCAGACCACTTCTACCCTGTTGCTCATTTTAGCGCAGTCGGAGGCGGGAGCAACTCTCAACCCATCCATTCCAGTTGGCTGACGCCCGCTTCGATGATATCGTTAGCAAGTATCAAATGGAAACGCATTTACACGGACGGTGATCAGGTCGACAAGCCAACTTCCGCACCAATACCCGGCTTCCGAGCCTCCAGCACTCTCATCGTCTGCTGAAACACCTTGGACTGCGCTTTCTTGCCCAGGTCTGAGTATATCCATCTCTCCACATCTTGGTTCTTGCCATCCGACATGAACTGCCCATGAGAGCCTGGTCCGGCACATGCGCCATAGACCAGGGTCCGAGAGCCCACCTCTGTTGATCTCGCCAGGAGCATACGCATTATGTACATCGCGATCCGGCCCGGGAGTGACACATTTCTATCCAGTTCAGACACACACAAGCCCGGATTGACCAGGGTAATAGTGACCGGCGGCTCTGTCGCGGCGCTGGATTTGTCGCGCTCTTGGAGGCGCAAAACCAGCTCGCGGATAAAGAGCACGCCGATGAGTTTACTGACCGGATACCTATACCATGTCCTGTGAGCCTAATGTGATTGCAAGGAGCAGAAAAGAAAGAGGCCAGTCCATTTACGCCCCAACAGACACTTACCTGCTCAGCATGTCGGCACTCTTCTCGTCGTTCAGAGTCGCGTAGATATCCGGAGCATTGACTTCTTTGAAACTCGAAAAGCGATGAGCCTCGGAATTGACGATCTCCAAGTGAGGGTTGGACTCGGGGAATTGGCGTTTGGTTTCCCTCAATTTGGGTAGCACGGACAGACCGAGCAGGAGAGTGTTGACAACATTAACTTGGATGGTCTGCTCGAATCCTTCGGAAACTGCCCAGCTCATGTTGTTGATACCGGCATTCTCCACGACAGCATCGACACGGGGCAACTCTTTCTTGACACGATCTGCGAACGCCAGGGTACTTTCTGTGCTGGTAAGGTCCAAAGGCCAGACCTCGATAGCTTCTGCCCCATCGGAGCGGTGTTTGACACTCCGAACGATTTCCTCCTTTGCAGTCTGACCTTTGGAGATGGTGCGCACGGCCAGAATCAATTTCGCACAGTTGAGGCGGTAGAAATGTCGGGCAGCCTCGAATCCTAGCCCAACGTTGGAGCCGGTGACGATGACGACCTGGCCGGAGAAAGTCTGTGTCGGATAAGGCGGTGTCCGGAAGAACTGAGAATGGAGGAAGGTTCGCAAAGAGAGCCCGATATCAAGCTTGAAATTGAATTCTTCCGCCATGGCTGGGAGCTGTAAGTGGGTGTGACCAAGAGACCGGAATGCAATGGTCTGTACCGAGTATAAATCAGTCGATCTGATAGATCACGCAAGCTATTCAAAGCTATTCAGTCGTGCCGAACGTCTACTGGCTCGTGACGGAACAAAGTATCAGCAATGGCAAGGAAATGAAACCTATAGGATTGACTTACAATAAGTATACCAAGCCTGGAGCTGAACAGATACCGACAACAAGTGGCGCAGGGTGCTTTCGGATGAAACTTGGACCGTCTTTACTACCCTATCTTTGTCCGTCGACGGGACGGAGATCATGGCGGTGTCACGCCAGGAAACTTTACTGGCCTGGAACCGAGTCTTTAGCGACCATGATTGGCTGCCAAATACTCAACAACCCCAATGTTGTCGTGGAAGAGAGTCTTGGGAGGCTGCCTGGGCGAGAGCCAAGCTGGTGTGCCTGAAACCTCGTTGCTGCAGAACGTTGTGCACCAAAGAAAGCTCTCGTATGTTATAGAAACCGGAGCATTTGTTCTACTGACGAGGGGAAGATCTCAAGGCAACGTACACGTTCCTCAATGGTCAAACCCACTTCGTACGGAGGTGGCTGCGCATCATGTTACCAGAAATGTTTGAAGGATGGGGTCCATGGAGATGAACGAGGAGAAGGTCTATATGCGGATTAATACCCTAGCTTGGAGAATTGTTCAAATGAGGAAGAGCATGGCATTTCCGAATGCTCTTTTGTGACACAGCTCATCCAATGCCAGCCTTGTACATTGGCCGTTGGTCAAGATCGCTGCTTGAAATGTTTTGGGTGGCCCCCCGGTCTCAATAAACTTAGTAATATACGACTTGCTCCATTAATCATAATGGATCATCGAGATAGCGTGGTTTGTAGCAATGGACCTGGTCAGTATAGAAGTCAGTAGCAGCTCAAGAGCTCTGTTCGCAAAAGATCACGCCGCTCTGTAGTGACCAGACATGTGCAGTTTTCATCTGTCTTCTGAGACGAGTCTTGGCACTCTGAGACATGTCACCACAAAGCAGCGGGAAAGCGCCCTGCCACCCGCGCTGGCCCTTCGTACAGCTCGTAGTCCAAAGTGCGGAGAAAGCCAAAATAATTTTTATTTGCTTCATTTCTGGTGTCTCTCAGCACGGCTTAGCTATTTTTCCCTACAACATCCTGCATATCTCTCCTTGACCTGCACGGAAACTTGAGTCGACCAAACCCGCAGCATCCGAGGCGTAGTAGCAAGTCCGTGTTCCGGCCTTCAGACCTCAAACTTGCTCTTTCCGTGCGAGTCAATTGAGAATTCTTGTCGACACCACTAGATCTCGACGTCGAGGACCAAGCCGACAGCAACCTTGCTATCTCTGCTCGTGCTTCTCCAGAGAAATTTCTACCAAACCATCCGCGAACATCTTCTACCTCAAACGTCGTGTGAAAGAGAGTCAAGATGGCGAAAGATAAATCAGGCGCCTCCAAAAAAGACTCCAAAGCTGAGCGCAAGGCCGAGCGCAAAGCCGAGAAAGAGGCTCGCAAAGCGGAAAAAGTCGCAAAGAAGCAGGCGGCTGCAACGACAAAAGCTAGCGGAGCGGGCCCGACTGGGGTGACAAAGCCAAAGGGGGAAAACAAGGAGAAGAAAGCAGCAAGGAAGGTGCTAGCGGAGAAGGCCTTGAATGAGCTTGAAGGCAAAAGCAACAAGAAGAAGGCAGAAGTCAAGGACGAGGAGGACGATGACGAAAGCGGAGAGGAAGAAGACGACGAGATGGAGGAGCAAAACGGCGTGAAAGTCGAGGGGCAGGAAAGCGACGGCGAGTCCGAGGACGAGGACGAGAAGCCGAAAAAGGCCAAGGCAGACTCAGAAAAGAAGAACATCCTTGCTGCACGGCCTGTGGGGGCTTTAGTGCCCTTTGCGAACCCGTTGGCAGACGAAAAAGTTGCAAAGAAGGTGTTTAAATGCGTCAAAAAAGGTGAGTTGTGCGCGCGCTGACCCATGGCCGTGTTGTAAATTCTGGCTTTCATTTGACACGGTCTTGCTAACTCGAGAGATCTTCACAGCTGCCTCGCAACGTACTTTGAGACGTGGCGTCAAAGAAGTCGTCAAGGCCCTCCGAAAATCCCCGACCACCTCGACTGATAAACTCCCTCTCGGCGTCGTGGTCCTCGCTGCAGACATCTCCCCTATGGACGTCATCTCTCACATTCCCGTGTTGGCCGAAGACCACAACGTCCCCTACATCTACGTGACGAGTCGCGCGGAGCTGGGCACGGCAGGTCAGACGAAGCGGCCGACCAGTGTCGTGATGGTCAGCAGAGATGCAGGGAAGAAAGCCGCAAAGGATGGCAAGGAGAAAAAGATCGAAGAGGAAGGCGACGAGAAGGAGAGTTGGGAAGACACATACAAGAGCCTTGTCAAAGTGGTGGAGCGAGAGGGAAGGCACGTGAAGATCTGATCGTTCGGTAACTCGATCCAATTTGTCCACGCCTCGCTCAATGACATGGGACTCTTCTGATGCCATCCGAGCTACTCGGCAGAGGAGGGAACTCGACACGCCTTTGCACGGAATAGCCTTACGAGTCATACTTCAAGCGGCGTCGAATGACCTTGACCACCCACCTTCTACCTACGCTATGAGACGGGCTCGTCGTGTCCGACCGATATGAGGTGTCACGAGAGGTGGGCTGTCGACTTCGTCCCACAGAGCGCAGAAAGCAATTGAACGGAATATCGGTTGGACTGTCAAGTTTCTCGCGAGCCAACGCCACCTCATTGTCCCAAGGAGACGACGGCGCAGAATCACCTTCTCGACCGAGCAGAACTCGTCCATGTCAGCTCCGCAGGAAAACGAAACGATGTCCAGACCTCAATTACTCTCCTCTCCCGGTTTCCTCTTTGTTTGTCTTCTGCTGTTCCTGGTATCTCATGGCGGCGGCCCGACTTTTGTGGGGTTCTTTGATGCTTGTTTCATGACGGCTCGGTTGATACTGCCGACACGCAGGTCTGGGTCTGGGTCTGGCGCATTTGCGGACATCTGTCAAATTGATAGATAGAAATTGGGTCACTAAAACTTGGGGCGTAATGAAGTGTCACGAACGGATTTTCAAAATACAAGGATACCCAGAAACAGGACTAAAAAAACACATCGAGAGGCACTGTGCTCCAGCTGAGGAATCAATCAGTAGTGTGTAGTAGGTAGCGTGTAGCGTGTCCATGGCTAAAACACTTGATATCGTCGATTGGCTAGGTGGCCACTGGCATACCATCCATCCTATATCATATGTACATCATGTGCATACCGGCCGGGTACATGTTTTCCTTTCAACACACCTCCTCGTCATCATCATGACCACTAGCAGCGTCTCGTACCGTCTTTTTCCCCAGCATCAAGTGACATCCTCACTTTTTTTATATATACGCTCTCGACACGCGCGCTCTTCACAGTCCCTGTCGTCCCGTGAGGGAAATCCGTCTGTAAACGGGCACAAGTAACTCGGAAAACCCCCCAGAAAAGAACCGTCCTCAACCCCTTCGCTCGATGGGCCTTAATGTGTAGGAGTTTGTTGCTTTGTCGATTGCTTTTTGTTTTGTCTCTTGACATTCCCTCATGTAGAGCTCGGACCAGAAAGAAAGACACGGGCTGTTTGTCCTAGGATGCGGCGCGGTGCTGGGGTGGTATCCTTTGCTGATTCTGCTCGCTTCCTGCTTCCTCCTTTCTGCCTGGTCGCTGTTCGCTCTCGAGGGACTTGAACACAGACAATCCCCTCCTCATTGAATACCGGCCTCCCTTGCCGGCTAACATTTGGCCAAAAGAATGGTCCGCCAAAGATTCAAGCCGTTCCCAAACTGGGGATGGAAGATTAACCCATTCATCATCTCTGTCCACTTCTGTACATCATCATGTCGTTTTCATTTTTCATTATTCGTAAAATGGCTTCCGCCTTTTGTTCTTTGTGCAAAATCATCTCATCATCCATGCCAATCTATTGGTCTGTGACTGCTTTTTCATCCCATAAGTATCGTTTGTTTGTACTCTGTTCACGTCCTCCTTTCAATATTCTCCGGGTACGGCACATATTGCTTTGTAACCGACGTGTTGATCGAGTATGACGTGCCTCCCAGGCATTTCATCCCTGTCGATCCTAGACATTTTCCATGGGACTTCCCGGTTGAGACGACCTCGGCGACGGCAGTGCGGACGAAAGTCGACTGCCGAGTCTCCCGAATAGGAATCTGCTTCCTCTGGGCCCGCTTCTGGGACTAACACTCCTTTCTCTGCGCCATTCAGGCGGTTTCAGCGTTGTGCTTGAGGGAGACGACAAGGTTGAACCGTTGGGTGATCGGACGACAACGGCAGGATAAGGTGGACTCTCTGTCGGGGATATACTGGAGTGATTCGAGAATGACTTCTCAAAGTTCGGGGCTCTGGTCCGCGTCGAGTCTCCATTTTGCCACTTCATCGAGCTCGAGAAAGGTTCGTCGAATTTGACCGTGCTGGTTCTCTGAGGAATCGTGGGTTCCTCCGGGAAGGGGGACAACCGGGGCAGTGATCGAGCCATGGTATGCGAGGCTTGTCGTGTTGCTATACCTGGGAGGTAGCTGCCTATAGAGTAAGACATCCGACGAGTAGCTTGCGAAAACCCATGAGACCCTCGCAATGAAGGTTCATGGCCCAAGTCCATAGACAGTCGAGCCTCGAGGCTCGCGAAAGTCGCAACCTTCTGCATTGTGGGTTCCTTTTCTTCCTTGTGGATAGCCTTACTCTCCAATATCTTTTCCCTGAGCTTCTCAGACTTCTTCGGGGCAGGGATGGAGACCAGTTTCGTGAAGAAAAGGCCCATATTGGCCAGAATCCTTTTGACAGCATTGGGGTTATTCACGATCACAATCAGCAGGTAGGTAGGTATGCAGATCCCTAGCGTTGTCATCGCGAAGGGAAGGAAGGAGTCGTTTGGCGGCATGTTCGTCACTGTGATAAGGTCAGCATCGTTTAGACTTTATGTAACGGCCATGTCAATCAATGGACTGCCGACGCAGAAAGGATGCGAGGTGGACATCACGTACTCCCGTAAATCCCGGTGACATAACTCAGCGGTAGATAGAACAACGTAACCAATGTCAACAACCTGATGTTATAGCCTTGCTCGACGGTGATCTTCGCCATACTGACAGCCTCCCTACTTTCTAGGACCGACGTTCCACTGAAAAGCCACTCTCGCAGGTTTTTAATCTGCTTTTGTTGTTCCTGAAAGATCCGCAAAACCTCCTCCAGCTGAGAGATCTCCTTCTCGAATTGTTTTCGTGTATATACCAGTTTCTTCCTCCAATTATTGTACCGTGGCGACTGGTCCTTGGTGCCTGGAAATAGCGTTTTGTGCTCCCCCGACCAGAACTCGTCCGTGAAGGTGTCCCTGTAAGTCGTTATCATGTCCTTGATCTCATTGCTTAGAAGGCCAAGGGTCTGCGAGGCCCAGAAATAGCGCCGTGAGTAGGTGAACTTGTTGTTTTCAAAGAGAAGTTCGTCTCGGAGGGCGCTGTCGAAGATTGATTTGTTCGGGGGGGTCGCCAGTTCTTGGATGGCCTTGTGGATCACCTTGAACCTCTTGCTTGCGTCTTTGTATTCCGAAAGAACGCTGGTCAAAAAGGCATCGGGACCATTGCAATAATGGTGGTTATGATCATGTGTATCCACGCTGGAATTCCAATCTGGAAAGCACTGTATCGTAAGGACGTGCCAAGGTGCGAACGGATCGTAGACGTGCCCAATGACCGATTTGTTCTTTCGAGAATTGCGCCGGAGGGTATAAGTGGGCTTGCCAGCGAGCGAGAGAGCGACGACGGATGAACACGTTGTCAGGGGGATATGGCCATCCTCGGTGTCGGGATTTTCGTCGTGATTCTGCCAATGAAGCGGAGCACGCCCTTCCCCCACGATGGTGTGATACTTGAATACAAAAACCACTGATCGTTGTCGGCGATGATCCTCCTTCAAGTATCCCTTTGTGAGGGCCTTGGTCGGCGTGTGATCATCTATCATCATGCGGAAAATGGAATCCATATCGAAGTATTCACTCATGGTGAGGTGCAAGGCGGCGAACAGGCTCGAGGCTGGCTCTCGGACCACGATAATTCGCCCTACAGCTTGTTTCCTCGACGTGTCCCAGTTAGTGCTCTTCAACGCTTCCCACGCCGCCAAAGGTCCCTCATCGGAATCACCCCGAGAAAACCGCAGAGGCGAGCCATCAGCACCCACGTGGTAAATATCTGCATGCTGATGGTTGGCGTCGGTCTGATGATGCCGGTCCTTGAGGAAAATGCCGTTCGAAAGCAGGTTCATGTTCCGGAGAAGATCCTGCAGAATATATTTGCTGTAAATATCCCACGAATGGGTCTTTAAGTGTTCGATCAAATCACTTTCCGAAAAGTCCCTTGGAGGTAGTGGCTCCTGTGCAAAGTAGGACTCGTCGTCATCACTGTCGGAGCTGTCGTCGCCCGTGTATATGGACTCTTTCGGTTGGCGTACCGGGTGGAATTGTTCGAGAACATGGCTACTTGGGGTGGAGTGGTGACTGTTCAGACTGAATCGTCTCTTCGGGACGGCTGCCGCTTGCGGGCCAACCTCAGAAGTTGGCAGAGAAACGGGAGACGAAGACAAGGGAAGAGAGGTGATGGTCTGTCGCGGGCTGGCTAGAGGCCGAGCGGGCTGTTGATGTAGAGCCTGTACCAGAGTCTCGTGAACCCTCTCAAAGGTGGACAGGTAGGCCTCCCGGTCGACTTCGAGTTGCTGGATCAATCTCAGGACTGAATCGGTGTCGACAGCCATTTGTGGAGGAGGTTGTGGAGGAAAGTAGCCATCGACAAAACGTGGCGACGGAGGAGCTGAAGGGGAAGAGGGTTCCGGCGTCATCTTTATGTAGTAAGGACTTTTCTGCACAACAAGGCTGGAGGAATCGACCCCATCATGTAGCCAAGTAGGCAAGCAGCGGACCGGCGCTGCGACCGAGCAGCGGAGCAAATAAAGGCTTAACACGCAGTCACAGACGGGGGATCAGTGCTTCTCGCGATGGATTCAGTGGATGCGGGCGTGTCGCCGAACGCTCCATGGAAGCGGTCTACTGCTTAGACCGCCCCGTCGTCAAGGTAAACAAGTGGGTCGTTTGGCAATTTGGCCGCACAGAGAGTCATGAGGCGGTGTCCAAGAAAAGCCGAAGAATTGGTCTGGCCAGGCTGAAGACGCCAGGTCAAACCCATCGGGCAGAAAAGGCGTCGTGGAGGGGCTCATGATCAGCTTGCGTGCTGGAACGATCTGCTCCATGACGCCGTTGAGGAGAATACGAGGGGCGACGTCACGTGAAGGGCCCGATACGCATCTCGATGGCACGCCGCACAAGGTACTTATACACATCTATGCAATTGGCCAGGAAACCCGCGGGTGGCCTAACGCCACTATTCGGATACCCGGATTATTCAACTGCACTGTCTGACTTGTGTCTGTGACATCGAAAGGAGAGGCGAGCAGCTATTGATGGCGGCGAAGTAGATTTCGCCAAAAGGCCAGTTCGTACTCGGTACACGTTGCTCTAGACACGAGCGATTGGGACCTGCCCCCCATCTCTCTCTATACGTCGTAAATGAAGTCTCCCACGAGTCTATCGTATCTATCAGTCCATGTTCCTTAAATCCGTCCAAACGCCGCCTGTCATGCCCCTTCGTATTTCTTTTGTTGATGTAGACTGATGTTGGCGATCACAGGTTCATCATCCTCCCCATCGCCTTTTCCAAAGACATCGTCATCATCGTCCGTATCGTCGTGATACCTCGGCCGCTCATTGGGCGATTCGTCAAAGTAGTCCATCGTGTCGTCGGCAACCGTCTCCGCGGCAATCTGAGCCTCAGGGTCGTCGCTGAAATCTGGTGGCGGGGCACCGGTGCGTCGTGTCGCATCTCGAACGGTGTCGGTTTCCTCGGCCTCGAGCTCCTTGGCTCGAGCCATGGTCTGTCGATAGATGTACAACCCTGTCAGACTTCCCACCACAGCGCCCAACGCAATACTTCCATAGTTGATGGCTCGATCTCCCATCGTCATCTTTTCCCGTGTACGGGCGATGACAGCCAAGCGGCTTCCAATAAAGACGTGCACCAACAGTTTAGGCGTGACCATGGCCGTAGCCAGGGCGTACATGACGGGGCTGACTGTAGGAAAAGTGGACATGGCGCCGTTCGACAGTGAGTACGGCAGAGGACACAGTCGGATCATGGCCAACAGCTTCAACCCGTCATGTTTGAGAATGAGGCTGAATGCGGCAAACCTCTTGTCGTGCGCGATCATCCGCTCTACCCACTTCCGCAGGATACTTCTTGACACAATGAAAGCGCAAAAGGATCCGACCACGGTGGCAGAAGCGAGAATAAGCCAGCCCTCCCAGACGCCATAGACGAAACCAGCGGTGGTGCCGGCGGTAGAATATCCAATGGCTGGCGGGAATGCACATAGAAAGACGATTGCCCACAGAATCGTCCAGCCCCCGGTTGTGTGTTTCCAGCGTTCGGCGAGAGGTTCGAGCCAGCCGAAGATACGTTCGTTGAACGCGAGGAACAGAACACCCAGTGTGGCCAACACTACCAGTCCAAAACAGGCGAGAATCTTGTGCAGTAGAGTCATACCATCCCACACTCTAGACGCACGGCGCCTCATCTTCTCAGCATTGTTGATCAGCTCGTCTCGCCATGCAGTTGATCGACTTGGAGCGAATGGAGAACTTCTGCCCGTGGAAATGGATCGTCGAGGAGGTCGCCAGGGACTGAGAAGTCCAGCTGGAGGAGAGTCGTCGTCGGAATCGGGTAGTGATACAGGACTTGGAGCCATCATGTAGGGGGTTAATGGAGGAAGGTTGATGGTAGGGATGTAGAGGCGATCGAGAATAAGCCCAGCGGGATGCTCGTATTTTAGGAGGCAAATGAGGATGTGGAGGTGGCGCGGGCTCAATAGTTGCGGTCATCGACCATTGTGAAGACAGGACGAAGGGAATTCATCGGGGGGAAGAGGTATACAGAGATGGGACGAGATTGTAGGCAGACTGGGGAATCTTGAGATGAGATTGGAAAGCTGCGGCCTGAAGGTTGACGGATGATGCGTGTCGGATCAAGCTGTAACGCCAACTTCCGGCTGGTGGATCAAGCACGAGTTAAAGCAACTGGATACTGTTGCTTGTGCCTTTCATTATTATTACTTGGTGTGCGGAGCTTATATTGCGTACTTATTTCGTCGGTTTCCTAGTCGTGGTGTTCGAGGACTGGGCCATTGTCTTGAATACCATGGCCATTGTGTTGCTCGACTGGCCCTACTGATGCCCAAAGCATTGCTGTTGCACGGCTGATGGGAAGATTCTGAAACTGAATGAATTGTTGGCACTAATCTTGAACTGCCGTCTGCTGCGAACATGCTTATTCCAGAAATACACTATATTAATAATGTCCCAAGGACGACGTAGAGGCCAATACTATCTCGTGCTCACCTGAACTCTGTGCTCCGTTGACGTATATAGTACGCGGGATGCCGAGTGGAGGGTGCTCTGGTCGAGTGGTTCGAGTTTGGGGGAGGGTAAGTACCTCCCTAGCATGTGTCTTGTACGTACCGAACCCCTACTGATCCTCAAACCACGGGCACCGTGCGGGCGGTGGACAGATGGCAGTGGGCGACGCGGGCAGCCTAAGTTTGCGGGTCTTCCTCCCCCGCCCTCCCTCGAACTGCCTTGGGACTTATGTACGATACTCAAGGCGTGGATGGAGGAGACGCTAGTGACTTCCAACCCATCGACCTCCTCACCCTCATTCTACCCCCCTGTTCTCGGTCTCGCAACGAACCATCTGAGTAGCGGTGCTTGTGTTCCTCGAACTCATCTGTCCTTACAAAGTACAGCCTCCGTGGAACATTCCTTGCACTCTCTCTTCCTCTTCCAAAGATTCCGTTTCTCCCTCGTTCACTCATTCTCAGTAATCGCCGTGTGTTACCTGCCCACGCGCCCAACCTGGAGCGGCTGAGGACCTTGATCAACTCCACCCTACGGCGCTGTCAACTTTCACCTGGCGAGGAGCGTCGCACTGCCTTTATATTTGCCTAATGCCTTTTTTTACGCTTGACTGCTCGGTGGATGTGTCGACACCTCTTTGATCAGGACCGCAGTTGAAGCATCCTCGACCGGAACCCCCGCTATCCGTCTCGCTCACGCGCTCTCAGTGCTCTGTTCATGGAAGAATGTCTCATATACCCTGAAGCAACCGGTACAATCACTTCGGATAACCTCTATCCACACCACGGCATTCACAATCGCATGCGCACCCTTCCACGTTCATGTCGAGCACCAGCCGAGTCCTCTGATTTCCCCGTTTCTGCAACACTGCCAACATACAGTTAGACTTCCATCACGACCGAAATGATTTCTGACGAACATTACGATCTTTGTCGGCCGGTTCTCGACGATCCCACGATAGAGGAGGAGGATAAGACTGAACGTCTAGAAGAGTTATTGAGTAAAGTACCCGGTCTGAAGGGAGCAGCCTTGGAAAATGCCGTCCTTGATGCCCTATGGAAACATCGAAATGCTCAACGCGGAGAGACTGCCGAGACCCCTCTACGACATAATGTCATTCGCAAGTCATCTCCTGCTCCCTGGCAGGCCAACCGCGCACCTACACCCCTAGGGTCACCGCCTCCGCTCTCGTCTAGCCCCGCGCTTTCTGCAGGATTTCCAGCCTCGCGTCCCAGCTTCTCCCGGCAGAAATCTAATATCCCCTCCCCTTTTGTATCTCCCCGACCTTCACCACGCCTTGCCCTGGTACAACCTATACCTCACAGTCCGAGCTTGAATGCCTATGAGTTTTCTGATACAGGTCCTGCGCCTGATACATACGGAGACTACGGACACGAAAATGTTGATTGGCTCCTGGCTGATGAGTCTACCAGTAATGCTTCTTCTACAGCCACTGGAGGGTTGAGCGCTGCTGCACCAGAATGGGTGCCTCAACCAGATATGAGTCCCTATGACATCTTGCGTTCTGTCCTGGGCGACCGCAAGACAGACGAAGAGATCGAAGAAGCACTAAACAAGAACTCGTACGATTTAGGGGCTACCATTGCCTCCTTACTTGGAACAGACACCGCCGACACGCAGTATACGGGAGTTCCATCGTCCGAGAATAATGTTCTGGTCGGCAAATCCATGGCGGTCAACCATGCCCGACCTTCCACCCCTGGCCAGCAGAAGAACCCTATAGTCTGCAAATACTGGCTGACATCAGGCTCCTGCCTTCGCGCTGATTGCCGTTTTGCCCACGACACTAGCGGCTACCTGTGCAAGTGAGGCCGGTCCCTGTTCCTTTTCTTCTGACTGTCGCACTGATGAAAGCTATAGATACTGGATGAACGGGAACTGTCTCGCTGGCGATGCTTGCCAATTCTCACACGATCCTGCTCTCCTCATCAATCATCTCACTGTGGGCGAAGGCTCAGTCACTCCGCAGTCTTTTCAGCTGCAGGACCACTACGAACAGTTTCCCTCGCTCACCAACCAGAACATCAGGAGCACGCTTCAAGCTGGTCTGGCTGCTGGCAACACATTCATCCCCGCTAACCAAAAGAACCGTAGTGCTTTGGGTACCCTTGGGTCGGGCTCTCGATCTCATTCTCGACCCAATTCGCGCCATCAAAATCGACCGGAGACGCCCTCGTCCCTCTCTATGGACGACCCCGAAGCGTTTCCGAGTCTAGGCTCTGCAAAACGGGGATCTAAGCATCATGGCCACCGATCAAGACATGGTCATGGAAGTGCAGAGAAGGAAACGCCCTCTTCACTTGCTGATGTTGTCCGCATGTCGCCGTCCCCGGCCGCCGGTCAGCAGCGTAAAGGAGAGACAGGGCGCAAGATCAGAACATATGGAGGCTCTGAGAGTGCGGCGGCACGGAAGATTCCCGAACCTCAGCATATCCCGTGGCTCGAGACGGGCTCTCGTGCCAACCAGCAGTATCTGAAATATAGACAAGAGGCTATCAAGCACGGAAGCATACGGAATAAATTCTTACAAAGGTAAGTCCCCTACGGCATTAGCTCAGGATTCCTACACGATGCTAAAGACGCCCACAGCGCAGCACAGGCATGGAACCGGAACGACGCCCGCGCCGCGAAGGCCCTCTCTCTCCGGGGCCAGGCCGAGAATGATGCGATGCGCAAAGCACACCGCGAAGCTGCGAAGGCTCTTTATGAAGAGAGAAACAAACATCTATCTACTTCTCTCGTCGACGATGACGAAGAACTTTACATTGACCTACACGGCCTTCATCCCGAAGAAGCCATTGAGTATCTAGAGAATATCCTCCTCACCCATTCTAAACGAGGCAGAAGAATCATCTACGCGATCACGGGCACAGGCCATCACTCCAAGAATGGTAAGGATAAGGTAGGGAAGGGCGTAAGGAACTGGTTGAATGAATGGGGCTACACCTTCCGCGAGTTTAGTGTACCAGGGGAAAGGGGGGGATACATCGGTGGGGTCTTGGGCATTGATATCACAAGTCACAGGCGCCAGCCCATCTCCGCCGATGAGAAGGGGGACGTGCCCGAAGAAGGGACCTCACCGACGCCCACTGTAGCGACGGCCGTGGGCAGTGGAAAGATCCAGGTTCTCAAGCGCGAGGAAGTGCCTGCGTGAAGCTTGTAGCTGGAGCTCGAGTTGGATATACAGCACGACATGTGATGCCCAACTTGGGAGCGGTGAAATCATTGGATTTGCGTGAAAAGATGGTAGTTTTGTGGATGGTACCTTCACAGCTACATAGCCTCTCGGGGATGCATATTGGCTGTTTTCCGAGACTCTGTTGGTAGAGCGCACCGGGGACCATCTTGTGGCTGCAGGTCAACCTGTGAGCTCGCGCAACAAATCGATATGTGTACCTTTGCGAGCCATTTCACGCCTTGACTTATCCAGAGCTGAAACCCCTTTGATGCTCAAAAGGCAGATAGATAGGTCCTGCAAAGATCGCCCATCGCCCATCTCCCAGGCGCATGTATGTATTGTATGTTTTATATTCCTTTTTCTTTCTTGGTTCGGCCTACCGCCACTGCACACCAAACATCTTTGCGGCCTTGCCCTTGAAGCCCCTCTCGGCGTCTTTGTTTTCGAGGTAGACGGTCTCGTGGCCCTTGACGGCCAAGCTCAACAGCTCGTACTCGAGCCTGTCGGCGTCCTTGGGCCTGGTCATGTGCACGGTGACGACGCCCAGGACGCCGCTCTCCGTGCCCTCGACGTTGAAGTGCATGCGGAAATGGGTGGTGCCGAACCGGTCGACCTCGGTCGAGTGGGCGAGCGGGCGGGCGCGCGCCCATTTGTTCGCGGTCGGTTCGCCGTAGGCCTTGATCTGGGACGCCGGGCCGAGCAGGGCGCGACACTCGGGCGAGGCCTTGATGCGCGAGACCGCCGCGTTGAACTGGATCGTGTACGACGACGGGGAGAACAGGTCCGTGTAGAGGAAGTAGGCGATGGTGATCTAGTTTTTTGTCCGGAAAGAAGCCTTCGCGTCAGCATATGTTCCCTTTTTTTTCTCTTTACCGCGGAAGGGTAAGCGGGAAGAAGAGAGGGGATCATAAAGGGAGATGCGACGACGAAGAAGAAGAAGAAGAAGAAGAAGAAGAAGAAGAAGAAAGAGTCGATGGAAGATGGTGATGATGATGATGATGATGATGATGATGATGATGACTCACAGTGCCGACAAGACCCAGCGAGACGAGCAGAAAGTTGAATGTCTGCTGCGTTCCTCGCGCGGCTTTCTCGCCCGTGCTCAGCTCGTTCCAATTATATCGGCCGTCGTCCGTGGTGACGGTGACGGCTCGTCGACCGGAGCTCGTGCTCGCATGACGCGGATGTGAGAGTGACTGCGTTTGCCGCTGCGGTCGCCATTGCTTTCGCGGGCGCGGGGTTGATGTTGTCGGCAGTGTGCGAGGATGATCATCGACGAGGCGGGACGCTGACGAGGAGCGAAGAGGACTTCGGCTGAGGCATATTGATCTTTCACACACGAGATACGGGCGCGGTAGTGGCAAAGATTCCAAGCAGCCGACCAGGGAACCTGGAGCGAGAGCTGCAAAGCTGCCACCATGCGTCCTGCGAACATGGAGCCGGCACGCTCGCTGAAAAGCGCGGGCTTTGCTGGCCATTGCTTATGGCACACACCCCCCCCAACCGAGTATGCAGTATTTTCTGTGGTGTCCGCCCGCTCTTCTGAAATCCTAGGCTCCGCCGTACGGATGCCTTTGTCCAATTTAGTAACCACTGCTTGTTGTTTTCGTGAGAGGGAGGCGGTCGCGCGTGCTTCGGAGGAAACCAATGCAATGGCTGTGTGGAGGTGAGAGTGAAAGCTGGATGGATGTGCAGAGACATTGACCCTCGAAATTTGCGGGGACCCCAAGTACGAGAAAGTCTTGGGAGGTCCGTCCACTGACGTTATTGGTTGTCGGCACAGGGGAAAGTATTCCAGTGCACGTGATACCGGGTAGCTCAATTAATATTAAAGCATAACTTGGATCTTGTAGTTGCGTCTGGAGCTAAACTGTATATAGAGACTCCTGCCACTTTACGCTTTACAGATTTCCCCTTTCAGAACTTTCAGAAAAGACAAAACGATGGGAAATATCCCCATTAGGCTAATAATACACCAACTACTGAAGTCAACAGACTGAGGGTCAAGTCGATGTACTCATAGGCACAGACGGCACATATGTGCAGGCGACGAAAGTGGCGGTACTTCGAAAGGTAAGGCGGCGAGATAGATTGAGTACAACATCCACCACCTCCGAGTACCTTGGGAGCAAAGGTTTGCATGAGCGTCCTTCTGCTCTTCTCGATATCAAAGTATCTGCGTATCACTGCGTCCAAGCCACCATCCATCTCTTCCGGTACCAGTAAACAAATAGGTAAAACAAATAGAAATATATCAATGGCCGTAGTGTCAATGCCGCCTGATGGCAACAGCGCCTTATCATGATATTCCCGATCCTTTTCATTATCCAATTTGCACCCCTTTGCCCGTTCCCTAATGATGACCCTGCTTTTCCTCCCCTGCCCCAGCGCTGTTTTCGTTTGTCCCATCTTATCCAAGGTAACGTGGTAATTCTGCTCTTGCCGTATTCCAGATATCCAAGTAAAGCCACTCTTCCGACACTCTCGACTGTGGAGACCTGATTCCCAACCACAACACACGCGGCAGATCATCCATATCTAACCGAGCCGTTAGTTCCCCCTGGTAGTCCAAGCAGACCCGTTATGAACCTGCTGGCCTTTCTCCCCGTCCTGGGTCCACTGGTGTTTGCTTTCCAAGAGCTTGTCCCTCTGCGACCGGTCTTTCGGTCACACTAGACAGCACCTCGTCGCGGGGTCTGTCAAATGATCTTCCCCGAGGTGCCAAGTGCTCCTGGGCGAAAGCTGCCAGGCTGCTCCGGGAGGAGCCTTGCTCGTTCCTGGGAGGGCTCTTTGCCCGGTCCTTCTCAGCCAGCTTTTCGTCTCTGTTCTGTGACATCTTGGCTTTCCATTTCCCGAACAAGCCCCTCTTCTCTGTCTCGGCGTTGAGGTCCTTCTGCACATCATTTGATTCCTGGCTTGACTGACCCATAAGGGGCTGCTGCCCAATCGCGCTGGGATCAATATACGAGGATTGCGTGAGTTGAGAATCGCCAGTAAAGCTCTTCCTGGGTCGACTGGAACCGATCGAACTGTTGCTCCCTCTCGCCCCGGCGTTCTGGCCAACGGGTGGTGGTGGCGCAAGCGGCGACTGTTCTCCTTTCTTTGCTGTAGCAGAGAATCTCCATCGATGGCGACGCTTTTCCTTCTCTGGTTGCTGTACCGCATCGTCGACAACATCGGCATCTGAGGGATCGGTAAAGGAGGAGCGGGAGTGCGTCGATCCTGGCGGAGACGTAGGAGGCTTCAACCCTGCCGCATGATTTTGCACGGTGTTTGTAGTGGGTGGTGTCGAGAACTGCTTCGAGTTTGGTGTATCATTGACGGGCGTTGCGGCAGTGTTTGTGAGAGCGGGACCTTGAGGCGCAGCCAGTGGATCGTGTCGTCCAATGCTATTAATATCAGGTGAAACCAGAGGCGTGTGGAAGGTGCCTGCGTCGTCGCCATGGAGTGAATTCAATGAGCTTTGAGCACTGTCATTGGTACTTCCAGGCAACTTTGGCTTCTTTTGCAATTTTCGCGGTTGCCTCCCGTTGGGATCCGATGGACCAAATATGGGCGACTTCGGGAAAAGATTAGATATCTTCCGTTCTCGAGTCGTGAAGGCTGGTGCAGCTGCAGTCGCAGCCGCTGCCATTCCTTGTACCTGGCCGGTCTGACTCTGGTTTGGTATGCTCTGTACGCTTGGTGGTGGAGGTTGCACCTGTTGTTGCGGAAACTGAACAGGTGCCTGGGCGGCTTGTGCAGGAACCAATAGTCCTCTGCCGTCAGCATCATCTGGTTGGATAGACCCAGATCTGGATGACTTTGACTCGGCAGTTTCCTGGTTCAGGGCTGAAGGGCCTGGATGCACGGCGTTCTGTCCCACTGGCTGAGCCGTCGAATCGGTATTATCATTAGATCTCGGGAAGCGATTCGAGGTGATGGCTGGAGATCGTTTCGATGGCACAGTATTGCTCCGCGCGATTCCCGCAGCTCCCGCGAACGAAGTGACTCCAGATGGAGTCCCCGGGCTCGAAACCCCAGGGCTGCCTCGTTCTCGGGAACCGCGCGACGACACGGATACATTACGCCGAACTCCATATTTCCGGAGACTGTCAGCACCAGCACTGGCATTGGAGGCAGACCGTCCCACAGCCTTCGGAGACCGCAAGGACGGTGCACCGCTCTCAACGTCCTTCTGAGTCTTTTCGTCGACCGCGGTACCTGACATTCCAATGAGGAAATTATCCTGGTTTTCAATCAAGAAGATCAGGACCTCTTGACTGAGTCGATATTCTCCTGGCGCCATGTCGTGTGAAGGATGAGATATTATACCTGGCTGGAAGATGGCGGCGAGATTGGCGGCAGTCATGCGATTGAGGTCCGACTTGGACGCAAAGACTGCAAGTAGATCGAGAATGTAGAGGAGCAACTGGCGATTCAAAGGCGGTAGCTCCGTGATGAGCTTTTGATAGGCAGAAACGGCGGCGGCGTGTTCTGCCATACTCATATCTCGAGATTGCATTTCACCATCCGGCCCTGTCGGAACCTGTACCAGACGGAGTGGTTCGCGAAACCGTTCGTAGAAATCGAGAGGAACAATGGGTTCCGGAAGCTGATTAAGGTAGCGGCGAAGGATGTTGGCAGCATCGTGGACAGTATAGCCAGTCCAATCTAGCCCCTTTCCGTACCTGTCAGGCGAGTTGAAAATGGTTTGTAAGTCTTTGATTCGTTTCGCGGACCCGCTCAGTCGGAAGATACCCTCGACATCGGTAGCTAAAGACCTGTCAGTTGTTTGTCAAGTGTTTGTCTCCCAGGCAAGCCTCTACCTTTCTCTTTGAGGAAAACTCCACACTTCGCTACCACGATCGGGACGTAGCCATAGATGAAACTCTCACCATATTCGTTCTGCAGGGAGATGGCGACATTGGCGTATCTGATGCTCTCGGCCAAAGGAACGCCGAAGATACCAGTGGGAGCTTCAACTATTGGAAGGGTTAGCTAACCAGCCGGTCGCGCGTAATAAAGAATCTTAGTAGATTTTGGCTGCCTCAACAGCTGTGTCTCTCAGGTATACGGGATGATTTGTTTGGCTTCTCTTACCCTTGTCATCCGTGGTTTTTTCTGTGGTCTTCCTGAATTTTTTCCACCATGATGCTAGTTCTCGCTTTGACGGAGGAGACGCGGTGGTCAACGGTGCAGGCGCCGGAGGAGCACCACCACCGCCGCCACCACCACCACCACCACCACGGGAGGGTTTTTGGGCAAAGGGACGTGGAGGGCTCGGAGTGCCTGCGCCTCCCGTTGCCATAATGCGGCTACAGGCGCAGATGCGCTCTTCGCCACGGCTCGAAAGGAGGGAGATCAGTTGCCTATGGTGCCTGACGTGCCGTTCACTTTGCTAGTAGCGGTTTAAGTCGAAATCACACTGTATCGCAGAGCGGCGCGACCTCCTTGAAAGACGCAGTCGGTCGCCTTTACGCGTTATTTGACCAGTCCACGACAGACAAGAGAGGGGTGATCGTGGCAAAGGCGGACAACAACGATGTGTGATAATGTCGGAAGAAGAAATGCTGTTTCTGAATGGGTTCAAGGGTTGGGTTGCGAGGACTATCAGCTGAAGCGAATGGCTGGCCAAGCGCGCAGCCAGGGCACCGATGCCGATCAAAGGAATTTCTGGGCGACCGACAAAGCAGTCAGTCTGACTGCTGTTCTTCGATCGATGGTGAAGGAAGGATGCTGGAAAACGCTGAAGGTGAAAGTACTGAGAAATCAGAATAAAAACGCGATCCTAAAGGTCCTGACAGGTTTGTCAGGGGGGCGATGAGATGGGAGAGGGGGGTTTTACGATTCTTGTGTGAGATCAAGAGAGTGTTTGGGATGTGTTGGTAGACGGGCCTGGTGACTGCGATTCGAAGACCAGACAGGTCGCAGCTGAGTAGAGTTTGGGCAAGAGCAGGTTCGGGTGGGCTTTTGCGGGTGTCTAGTTGATGTCTAGCGGGTGGATGGTCGGTGCCCACCTATTATTTGTTAGGGTGTCCAGGTGCTGCACCAACTACGGAGTAGTACTTGGGCGGAGCAGTCAGCGATGGCCTGGTTGTTTACTCGTAAGCGGTGGTGGCAGGAGGCAGGAGGCAGGTGGCAGGCAGGTGAGCACCCCAAAGCCACCATCTTCCTCCTCTACTAGTATTATTTGATTTGGACCCCTCAAATCACCAACCCGCAGTTAGCACAGTCAAGACATCAATTGCTTATTTCCCTCGGGCTTCCTTCTCAGACATTCGGCTGACCCATGTCGTTTGTGAATCTAGTGCTTTGTTGACATTGGATTCACTTGCTTCCTTGGGGATGCGCACCGCACATTAGCTTGGTGCCTAGCGAAACTGTCGAGCTTTCCAGATTCTACGTCTCTACCATTATTGTCATATGATAGATCTCCCGGGAGCTACGTGTCACCGCGGTGATCTGCACGGTACATCAAAGCCTCTTACTTGCCACGCTTGCTTCACTATCGAACGCCTATATTTAAATCGCGGCTACTAGCGAATGGCGACGAAGCGGATCTTCTTGCCCCAGGCCGGTCGATCTATTTCCTAGTCTTGACCTCGTTGAGTGCTTGAGTTGCCCAATACCTTCCCAGGTACGTGGCGAGCCGGCTTGGAATTTCGTGCCCAAGCGTCTGTTACACAACAGTCATGCATGCCAGAGGGAAAAAGCAGTCAGCCACAGCTCGAAGATGACGCATCTCAAAATGGGGTTTTGAAACAACAGTGCTTCTACGAACTAGTACATGCGAAGTGCAGCCTACTACTTCTCAAACCTGCGCACCGCCCCCAAACTTAGCCGAAGGCCCCCAATAATGAATCACTTGGAAGCACCGAGAGAGGATGGTCTGCAGGAATACGAGAACGTCGGTCGTGAAAGAGATCATTCATTCTTGGAGGCCTCAAACCAGGCCGCTCCCAACATGATAATAGTAGACAGTCGCAAAACACCGGCCTTGGTTAGCCGAAACTCCTCCCTGCACAATCATCTAGGTGGGTATATTGAGTTTGGAAATGGGAAAATATCTGTTCATGACAAGAACGGCCAGCGTGGCACCGTGTGGTGTGGAGGGTGATCTGAAGCCTGCAGCTGCTACAATTCCCGATCATCCTCGACAATCGCGTTGGCCAGCTGAGGTGCCGCGCCTCCTATCGTCAGATCTTTGAGCGCCTTGTCGAATTCTCGACTCATCCCATGCTTGACTGCTTCCAAGACGTTGTCCACCGTCATCTTAGGCATATACGTGGGCCGAGTCCCTTCTCTAAAGACACCCGTACGGACCAGGATGGAGTACCAGTTCGCCTCAGACTCGCCTGATTCGTCAAATTCATTGGTGCCTCGAATGTCCGACTCGGGGGTGTCGCCAACAAAATAGACCGTCTCCGGAGGTCGATCGATCCCGTGAGTATCTTTCCGCCACTGCCGCAGAAGTCTTGTGGCGAACTGGAATGTGCCGACTTGAGGTTTGCCGAATGCGATGGTCTTCAGCTCTTTGCCTGTGATTGCCTTAAACATAGCTTCGAGAGATGCCCGTAATGCTCCCATGCCGATGCGCGAGTAGGCATGAGAGGTCGCCCAGACCACATCATTGTGGGAGAAAAAGACCGGTGGGCCTTCATCGAAAGTCTCTGACCTGGTACCCAGACGACCATTCTTGCTCATGCAGAGGTCGAGGATGATTTGGGAATCCCCAGCCCAGTCCCTACTATCGGCAAAGACGAAGACGGCTTCGATCTCGATTTCGCCATAGTTTCGGACGTTGGAATTCCGGTGCTCTTCATCGGTCAATTTTCTGAAGGGCGTGGTGTCTGCGTTATCTTTGATAATGTCGCCAGGCGTGATGACATCTTTGAAGCCGTAGCCCTTGGCCACGTCACGGCATTTCTCACCTTCGCCACCGACGACGAGGACTGTGTGATACTTCTCAGCCATTTCCCTCATTGGAGTGTGTCCGCAGATGAACTGGCCGGGTGACACCTCCATTTGGAGTTGGTTGCTGAGCTGGATGCACCGTTCCTCTTCGGTCTTTCCGCCACCATTGGTGACGAAGATGTAAGGACTGTCTCATAGAGTTAGTATGCCAATATCCCAATGGGTTCAAATGCTAGAGCCACGTACACTTTGATGCCATATTCATTTTGCCCATTGAGGACTTTCATGGCTTCAACAGCCTCTGGGATGACCTTACCACCTTTGATGAGAACTCCGTCTATATCGAAAGCGAAGGCATACTTGTCGGTTGTGCTCAGGCCGCTGTCGTCAGGAGTAGTAGGCCCCGATTCAGGGGGGGTGATCGTTGGTGATGATTCGGCCAGATGATGCTTTGCCATTTCCATGGCACGGGCGGTCTCGTTGGCATGGCTATGAGTGTCCATATGTTGTGGCGGTACAACAACGGTAGGCCCTCCAAAGAGATCCGCCCTTTGGGCACTTTGACTGGATAACCTGCGCATGGTGCGCTGAGACGCTTTGCTGGAGGTGGGATAGAGGGTGTTGTTGTCCACATCCCCGGACGGACCTTCGGTCGACATGATGGTAACCTGTCGGTTTCTTCCCTGTCTCGAGGTAGCACGATCGTCTAGATATTGCCCTCCTAAATTCCAAAGGCAAGTCTCGGTCACTTATTGCTGGCTTGGAGAATATGGAGTTGGTCACAGGGGCACTTCCGGCACTCCGGGGAGAAAGGGGGGGTTGCCTTTATATACCAGCCTTCAACCTGTCAAGGCCACTTCAGGGAGAGAGACCCTCGAGGCAAATCGGAAACACACGTGGGACCCAAAAAGTGGAAAGATATCAGGCACCTGCAACCAAAAACAGTGGATATCACGAAAACTGGACAAGGCGGTCGTTTCGATGAAAGGGATGGAGCAACACTTGTTCGACCAGTCCATTGTAGCCACAGCACGAGAGAGTACGATGGGGAATGGGAATAGGAATGACGTCGCTGTGGTAGGATTCGGTCCTGGTGGGCGGATACGAGACCTGATCGTCAGATCCCACCAGAAATGGTCCATCGAAACTTCAGAGAGAGAGAGAGACCCCTGTTACGTGCTTGAATGGGGAGGGGTGGTTTGAAAAGCCGCAGCCATGGGCGGTCTCTGATACATCACTGGTGTAGGGAAGATGACAGAGAGCCACCCACGGTTGGATATCGCCGAGACGTCGAGTTACAGATTTTTTTTTTTTCTCTCTCTGTAAAGTGATCCACATGTCTTTTGTTTGCCAAATGCTCCTTAAGTAACGAATCGGTTGCTGGCCGTCTCCAATTTTCAGCCTTCTCTTTCGACATTTGTTTGGAGCTTTCATTTTTAGGAGGCGACGATCATCCAACGCCACTGCTGTCATCACTCTCCATCGTCAACCAAAATCAAACTGTGTCCCGGCTTTCCCTAGTCAGGAGGATCCGGCTCGGAGACCTTACCATGTGGCCTTCCCATTCGTTCTTTCGCTACGCTCTACGCTTGCCTGCGGAGCCTCGCGAGGAGGGTTCAAAGCCTCGAGGCCAGGGGCGGAGATACATTGTTGCAATTCACATGTGCCGAGTTTGATACGTCCAGAAAAAGGGAGTTGTCAGAGCATAGCCGCCGTTATCCCAAATCAAGACACCGACTTCTAGGTGTGGGATTTTGCAGGCATCCCGCTCCTCATCCTGCTGGCTTTCGATTGTCCACCCATTCCCAGTGACAAAAGAGGGGCAGGAGACGGGACACTGGCGTGATAGTACATACAAAGGTCGAATCAACTGCCGCTGGAGCTGTGGTCCTTGCATAACAAGGCGCATAAACGAGGCGTGTCCATGAAGATAATGATTCTCAGTCTAATCCACCCAGGTCCTCAAGATAACCCATCAAAAACGCTAGAATATGTGTGCCCGAGTGACGAGATCAACGCTGTACATGACACCGACTGCTTCATTAGCCATCCCACTCCCCCCAAAAGACCACATGCCATCAAAAAAGAGGGGACTTACCCCATGGTGGTCGGTGTGGAAAAAGGTCCGCATGGGGACAACGAGAACTGAACAAACAACAAAACAACAAAAACCTAGATGTGGAACTCGTTGTCCAACCAGTGTTTGACCACCAATTTTCCCTCTTCAAATGCAGGTTTCGGGACACGCACAATGATCGCCGCATGGCTGTGGGTGCTTTTGTGGATATATACAGGAAATTTCCGGAATCCCACGTCGTCCAGCGCCTTGATCATGGCAAATTGGGCTGCAGTCAGGGCCAAGGTCGGGACGCTGGAAGACCTTTCAGATTGCAAAAGCTCATCATTGTCTGATTTCTCAGACCGAAATGATTCAGACGAGGTCTTCGCAAAAGCGACTGGGGACGAAACAGGATCCTCTACGGCTGCATCAGCTATCTCCGAGCCCTCTGGTAGATACTCTTGTTCCTGAGAAGCATTCACGTTCTCGAAAGCATCCTCAAGCCCAACACGCATCTCCTGGACCATCCATGGGATCCTGTACAGCCCAAACCCTTCATCATGATGGTCGGCCTCGTGAAGCATGATTCTCCGCCGACTGCGCAATGTCTGGATGCCAGAGTTCACCACGAACGCCACCAAGACGATGGGGAGAAGGACTACCAGCGCCAGCAATATCGGTGCCCGACGCAGATAGTGGTGGCCTTGCGTGGAAAGTCTCTGGTACAAGGACGGCACTTCGTCCTGAGGTATCACATCGTAGGGGTGGTCTGGATCCAATATCACGGGTTCGTAGCCTTTGACATAATTCAGGTTGAGCTTGGTCAAGTCAACAAATGGATCATGTCTGGAGATTCCAGTCGTGTAGTACACGGCGGATCGATCATTGACGATATTTGTGTACAGTGTACGATGCTGAAACCGAGCGAGGGCATGGATGAAAATGCTGTCAGGATCTGCGAGGACGCTCAACAGGGGCCTGCCGCTATCACCCAGTCGATCGCTCAGGAATAGCTGCCGGCCCGACGCCGAAAGCAATCTTGCCCCTAGCACGTTCCAGAGATGATTCTGGTGCTCTTGAGTTAGAACAGAAATGGGTTCTGAGGTACTGGGTGTATCTGCTTTGCACATACCTGGTAGCCAGTTAAGGGAGTGCGAACACCCAAATGAGGAGTGACAAAAGTGGTAAAGTTGACCGGGGTTATCTTCTCAAATAAGCCCTTGTGGTAGAGCAGTCCAATGGCATAGCGAGCAACGAGACCTCCCAGGGAGTAGCCCACGATGGAAAAGCGCGTAATCTCGTGTCCATCACGGTTCAATTCTTCCACCGCGTCTTCAACCTCTTTGGCGACCCGTTCTCCGCCCACATTCACGCCGTCATAGGTGAGGCTGCCTAGGTTCCTGCGGCAGGCTAGGACTATGATCTCCTCTTCACTGTAGCGATCACGCAGGGCGTTTGCAATGTAGTTGAGATGACCGGGATTGCCCCAGAGGCCGTGGACGAGAACCACCAGGTGCTGAGCTTTCTTAGGGGTGCTCTTCGAAATGGGGGCCATTTGCCAGTTGGCGAAGAGGATCTGGGTGTCGAGGCTGCGAAGGTCAAAGGGTAATGATGGCATCAGCATGGCTTTTTGTACCAGGTGCGCGTCAGGGATCAGCCAGTTGGCAGCCAAGGCCCCTGGGCTCGCAATAGCTGGTGCCTGGTTTTCGGTTGCTTACAGGCTGGCTGCGCTAAAACCAAGTCCCTCTTCGGCCACCCCTGTCTCTGTGCTCGTGGGATTTGGGAACACGGCCTCGCTTGTTCCGATCCCAAGCGATCCTCTAGAGTGAACAAACCCCCTCCCAAACCGACGGGAATGTGATCCAGGCGCTGACTCTCCTGTGTCACTGACCCAGTTTTGACTTCACAGCTTGTCAGTCCCCCAGCTAATCCTGCCACGAGTCTGCCCCTCTGCACAACGGACATACACAGTCGAAGTCAGAGATTCACACCAAGATCCCACAGCTGCCTGAATTGTGGCACTTCACACACAACGGAGGGTGTTGGTGCAACCGCTGCGAGGCTGACCGCCTAGCCTCACACCCCTTGAACAAACAGCGATCGCGCAGGGTCTCAACTGAACAAACCAAATCAACTATCGATGGGATTTCCTTGGGAAAAGTAGAGATGTGTTTTGCAGCGCTCCGGAGAAGGATATGACTCGATGATATACGAGTTACCTCATTTCCCACGGCGTCTTCTTCGTCTTTATAACTGTTAAACACCTTCTCCCCACGCGTCACTCGGCAACTCGAAACCCTCATCTAGTTCCTTCTACTCGCCCGTGGGCGTTATCTCAGCCATTCTTGGACAGGCGATAAGACGGCTTAGCTCTCCCACGCCCGAGTCGTCTTCGTTGCATGAACGGACCTTGCCGCTGGGCCTTGGGAGCAGGCTTATCACCAACCGCGCCAACTGCAAGGCTTCGGATGACTTGAAAGGAAACAAGGTTTCGATCTGCTCGTTGATCAAGCCTGCGTAAACCCCCAACTCTAGAGGCAGCATCAAGTCTAGCCAACCACTGGTTACCAAAAAGGAAACACGGATTAGGGTGGCGTTACATTCTGCTGAAGGTCGTGGGCTGCGAAGCTGCGATAGGCTTCCCAACAGACCTAGCGGCTACCTTCAACTGTGGTGTTTGCTGTTGATCATTTCGCCTAGGCTCCTCCACCTCCGACTGGAAAGGACCACGTTACAACACAGGACTCAAGGGCATCAGCAACCACATCACCAGCAGCAGCAGCAGCAGCATCATTATCATCATCCACTTATCCTTTATCCGCCCAGGATCGTCCTCCCACTCCCTGAATATGTTCTCGTCTCTGGGTCTTTTTCGCAATGTTTCATGCCCTCGACAGGATGAGTGCAGCCTACAAACCTGTATATTCTCACATAGCTGGAGAGGATCTAGTCCTCAGGCAGACTCAGTGCTCAATCCGGTAAAGGAATACGATCCTTTCAGTGCCGGAGACATATCGTCCCCGCCGTCAAAGAGGAGGAGACTAGAAATTCCTCCCGAACCACCAGAGAAGCCTGATGTTCTGCAACCAGTAACTGGAAGCATAGAGGCCTCTACTCGCCCAGCCCTGGGAAAACAAGTGCTTCCACCCTCCCAGACAGTGAGTCGTACCACGCAAGAAACCTCATCTCCCGGTCGGATTTTGCGCAATGTGGTGGACGAAAATGCCAAAAGAAAGCCAGCTTCAATTACAAGATCCGTGTCACCACCACCAACAAAGATGCGCACGGAATCTTCGCTCCCAGTCAAGAAGAAACCTGTGAAAGTCGAATCCCTGACGCCCCGCAATGTGGCGAACGCTCCAGCTCTCCTGAAAACAAGATTGACGGTACTACAGAAGTTGCACGAGGAGATGCGGACCCAGAACAGCAAGCTTGCTAGTTCGGACAGCAATTCCAAAAAGCTCGTGTTAGACGATCAGGAGTTGATCAAGTTCGCCCTCGACGAAGAGGAAGCTGCGACGAAATTGGGAGGTGAGATTTACAAGAACACCATGGCTCAAAATATTCTACGAACTAGAAAGATGACCATGGAGGAATGGGTGAAGAGAGTCTCTCAATGGACTGGAGCAACATCGACGGTCAAAGCCCCAACGAAGCCAGTTGACAAAAGCGATGAACTTCTGGCCATTGGCTTGTCATCTCTCCATGAACAAGTTGCTGTTCTCAAGCATCTCCACACTCCCCTCGAAGGCCTCGAGCAATTCGGTTATGTAACCAAACAACCCTCCAGTCCAGAACTTACCTCTGCGAAAGCGGGACTGGAGGCTGCTAGAGGCTTTGAAAGCTGCGATCGGTGTGGGACGAGGTTTCAAGTGTTTCCCGGTCGAGATGACACGGGTCGCTTGACCAGCCAGGGACGGTGCCGTTATCACTGGGCTCGGCTGAATCGTGCGGCTCCTTTGAAGAAAGATAGAATTCAAGGAACATCAGAAGCAACCTACCCTTGCTGCAACAAACCACAAGGCAGTGAAGGCTGTTCTGAAGCTGACACACATGTGTTCGTTGTCAAAGACCCCAAGCGTCTCGCGACAACCCTCCAGTTTGAACAAACCCCAGAAAAGTCTGATCTACGGCTGAGACAGCCTGTTTCGTTCGATTGCGAAATGGGTTACACCACATATGGAATGGAGGTCATCCGAGTGACGGCTGTCTCATGGCCTGACGGAAGACTACTTCTTGACGTCTTGGTTCGACCCTTCGGGGAGATCCTCGATCTGAACACCAGGTTCTCTGGAGTGACGAAAGAAGACTATGCAGCTGCGCCGCCGTACGAAGCCGGTCTTTCTGAAAAGGCATCGAAGACGCATCTCGACAAACACCAGCTCCGTAAAGTGGACTCGCCAGCTACAGCCAGGAAATTACTGTTCGACCACATCAGCCGGGAAACGCCCCTGATAGGCCACGCTATTGAGAACGATCTGAACGTGGTGAGGATCATACATCCCTGCGTGGTTGATACGGTCCTTTTGTATCCTCACCCGCGAGGACTTCCGATACGATATGGCCTGAAAATGCTCAGCCAAAAGTACCTATCGCGAGGTATCCAGACTGCGGGCGAGGCTGGACATGACTCCAAAGAGGATGCGATAGCTACGGGGGATTTGGTGACGAAGAAAGTGGTCGAGAAGTGGAAGGTCATGAGGTATGAAGGCTGGACATTCGTTGACGGGATCCTCATGGCACCAGAAGAGATCAAGGCAGTGAAACACGTGCTCTAACGTTTGTCCTCGTGCTTGGGAGGCTTGGAACTATTCTGTATTAGGCCTAGTCTGATTTTCTCCTTAAATCCACCTTGGTGTCCAGCAACTGCGCTGCGCCCCTTTCCGAACTTGGAGAGCGTGAACCGCGCCTGCAGTAGCCGGGGAACAATTTCATCCACTCAATCGAAGGGATTGTCCCCTGAAATTCTTTGACCGCGGAAGCCTGTTTTTGAGGCTCTATGAAATAATCGCTTTAGATTCCCAAACTCCGCCCTTGGCCTCATCCTCCGAGTTCTGCGTAGCCGAATTCACTTGCTGGGTCGAGTCGAGTTGGTGACCCGCAAGCAATTTGAAGACACTGGCTGCTACTTGATTGCGCCCACCATCGTCGCACCTCCTGAGCGATAAGCTGCGCCCTGCAGCAAGACAGACAAGATGGGCAACCAAATATCCAAGATGATGGGCAAGATCTTCGGATCAAGAGAAATGCGACTGCTGATGCTCGGGCTTGATGCTGCTGGGAAAACAAGTGAGTCCACACAGAGCGGCGTGCACAGTCGATGGCGCCGCACGTGTGTCGGCGGCGATGCAGAGGACTGACGTGCGTGCAGCAATTCTATACAAATTGAAACTGAACCAGGACGTCACAACCATCCCCACAGTAGGCTTCAACGTCGAGACCGTGACCTACAAGAACGTCAAGTTCAATGTCTGGGATGTAGGCGGACAGGACAAGATTCGGCCGCTCTGGCGACACTACTTCTCTGGCACACAAGGTCTGATATTCGTGATTGACTCCAACGACCGAGCACGTATCGACGAAGCCAGACAAGAACTCCACAGGATCATTCTGGATCGAGAAATGAAAGAGGCGCTATTGCTGGTCTTTGCAAACAAACAAGATATCCCAGGCTCCATGACCCCTACTGAGGTGACTGAGAAGCTGCGACTGGGCCAACTCAAGGATCGGACTTGGTACGTGGTGCCCAGCTGCGCGACCACAGGAGAAGGACTGCTCGAGGGGTTGGTGAGTGATACCTATGCCCTGAAATAGCAGCGCACTTTATTGACGTCCTCTTCTACAGAGCTGGCTCTCGACAAATGTCAAAGCCCAACCAAGGCCCGCGCCCACCAAATAACGCACCTCGATCTACGAAGACAGCTTTTGGCGGAACGAGAGCTTTTAACCTGGCTCGGCGAAAGGGACATGTGGCGCCCATCTGGGCAACAGCAGTCATGATACCTATACAGGGTGGATCACTTGTGGGAAGTACTAGACCAAGGGAGTTCGATGAATTGAGATTTACCAGCGCCAGCATGAGGCGCGGGGGCTGTAAGAGCAGGAGCCGGGTCAAAGCTCTTCGGGTGGGAAAGAGACTCGTGATGAACCACCTTGACCTACCTTGCCGTTGTGCAATCTGCCCAACTTCCTACCATGTCCGCGAAAGATGAGCGGGGAAGACGCAGTCGAGAGATGAGGAAGGCAGTGGGCAGACAAGGCTGTGCAATAGTCTTGCTTGGCTGGAGGCTCATTGAAGGGCCATTGAACATTCTTTGACTTAAGGGGAGACAGGCGAAACGAGTCGGCGAGTCAGGTATCGACCAGGGGGCTTTGGTGCAACCACCATGTATTGTACTAGTGAGCCTTTTTCTGTTTGCATGTACTCGGTACTACTCGGACTTGGCGCCATTACGGTGGTTAGAAGAGGGCGAATTCGAGGGACATGGGAAGGGGGTGAAAGTTGTGATAGCATCATTCCGGAGTAATAGAGTTTATCGTCTTGCAGACATCAACCGTGCTTCATCACAACTTCTACTTGTATACATTGTGACTGATCGCCCATCACTGTCAACCATCACCACCTCTTCCGCCGTTACAGCGTCCCACGAACCCTCGGACAGTCTTAGACTGCTGCAGCTCCCTCGAAAGGTGGGCAGCCGATACTTGTTTAGGTCTCTTGCCGGCTGGTGCCACCCACTTCGCGGACGAGCCATGCTGTTTACGACCTGCGTTTTCTGCACTTGCTGCTCATCTGCTCGCCCTCTTTGTGATGCCCCTGCATCCTCCCAACTACTTTGCTTCCCGCCAGTGCATCGGATATGCACCTCGACGCCTTGGGACTTCTCTCACGCGGCCAGGCACACCCCTCTGGGCAGTCCAGGTACCACCTTGTCGAAATATCGCCACCTCCGTCTACACAACCCCTTTACGATCACAAACGGCGGACCTGCATGAACCCCTGAGCCTCAAAAAGGCAAAAAGCACATTTCGCAGCAGATCGCAAATGCAAGGCTAACGGCTCGCGTGCGTGTTGCTCGATGCACAAATTCGCAAACAGTACAATAAAATCCCTCTTTCGACAATTCCCTCAAGTTCCATCGTCCTCAGACATCCATCTGCCTCGTGGCCACCATCCCCCTTCTCCCTCCTGGCATCCTCATCCTTGAAAAGCATCATCTGACTCTTTGGAATCCCGACTATTGCTCCTCTTAATTACGCCATCCCACGCCATCTCCAGCTTTTTTCGTCCTGCCGAGACCCGAACCATCCCCCGCCCTCAGCCTCCTGCCACCTGCCACCTGCCACCTGCCACTGACGGCCCGAGCCTGCAAACCCCCCGTCGAGGTCTCGAACTCGTGGCCCTCACTGGCCACTTTTCCCTCCCCCCCTCATCCTCGTCGGTGGACTCTTGTGCCCACTGTTTCCGGTGTCGACGTCAAAGCAGAGAGGCTATTGTGATACCTAATTTGGTCCAAGGTCAATAGGACCCTCCTCCCTTCGGCACCTGCCAGTTTCATCCGCCCATCTGAGCAGGAGCTGGACATTAAAACAGGCATTTCTCTATCTCGGGCGTTGTCTCTCGGCTCTGCCAGGCGTTTTTGTTTCCCTGAATCTCGTCATTTTGTGCCCTGCCACTCGCTGGATTGATTATTGTTGCGGCCATGTCCGACCAGAATGGGACACTCAATGGCACCTCCAAACCGTCTGTGTTGATAGTGGGGGGTCTCGGTATATGCAGGCCCTTTGAGATGCGTCGCAAAGCGTATGCGCTAACAGTTTTCTACCAGGGTATATTGGTCGCTTTCTGGCAAAATACATTCATTCGCAGAACCTAGCCTCCTCTGTTCGTCTCGTCGATAAAGTCCTCCCTCAGCTCGCCCATCTTGCGCCAGAATTCAGCGATGCATGCTCCCCGGACAAGTTCATACAGGCCGATGCGTCTCGCGAGACGTCGATGGCCCGTGTTTTTGAGCATCCGGACGGACCCGATCGAACCTGGGACTTCGTCTTCAACTGCGCCGGCGAGACGGCTTGGTCGCAGACTTCAGAAATATATAAACTGCGCTCATGGCAGCTGAGTGTGACACTGGCGAAGGAAGCAGCCCAACGTCGCGTCAAGTCCTTTGTCGAAGTCAGTACAGGCATGGTTTACGCTCCGAACCGTACTCCACGCAATGAGCAAGACAAGTTGAAGCCGTGGCTGAAATTGGCCAAGGTGAAGCTAGAAGCCGAACAAGAGCTGTCGAGAATACCAGGCCTGAATCTGGTCATCCTGCGCTTAGCGCATGTCTACGGACAGTATGACTCCAAATTCATTGCCAAAGGATTATGTCTGGCTCGTGTCTATCAAGAACAGCAAAAGGAGATGAAATGGCTGTGGACTGAGGACCTGAGGATCAACACAGTTTATGTAGAAGACGTTGCGCGAGCCTTGTGGGCAGCGGCAGAGTGGAGGTCGGAGAATTCAACCATCTCATCATCTTCTTCGCCTACAGTCACCCGAAGACCGACATTAACAAAAGGAGAGGACGCGCCAAGCGGCAACGTGCCCATATTTAACATCGTCGACCATGGCGAAACAAGCCAGGGAAAATTGGCTGAAGTTATTTCCAAAGTTTTCGATATCAAGACTGGGTTCCACGGGACCATCATATCATCTTTTGCAAAGATGAATCTCGAGCACGTCGTCGACGATCTCAATGAAGATATTCTTCAGCCGTGGGCCGATATGCTCGAGAAAAAGGGCATCACGAAGCCCGGTCCTCTCAGTCCTTTTATGGAAAAGGAGTTGCTCAAAGACACAGATCTGAGTCTGGACGGCAGCTTATTCGAACACGTCGTGGGCTTCAAGTACGAGCGGCCTGATGGCCTGACAGAGGAGGGCGTGAGAGAGATGATTTCAAGTTATGAGAGGATGGAATGGTGGCCCTGATGCGTGTTTTGTTTGCAAGCATTCGTTGTTGGCGTTTCAGCTCCAGCGTCGAGCTCTCGGGAGCTACGCACGGACGCACTTTGTTTTGGGGATGCTGTCCACTTTCTGGCTTGGGTTCACGTTATCTGGGTATTTGTTTTCCGGGCATATCGGTTCCCAGGGAGGGTTTTCAGTTCCGCTTGACTCATTCAGTTGAAGCATGCATCCAAGGCCACGAGGCTCTTTTTATTCCAGCCAAGAACGAACCCAGAAAATCAAAACGAAACAAACTCGACGCCGAGAACCACGGCTGTACATAACGAACAAGAAGACATGCTGGATGACAAGACGAAGCGAGCGCCTATTTCAGACAGCCAGAGCTTAATCGTGTGTAAAGGGAGCGACCCGGGCGTTGATATTACTATTACTATTACTATTACTGGATAGGCTAGGGCTAGGATGGGTAGGCTAGGGCAGGATAATGTAGACCTTTTTTGTTTGCTGTAATGGACAAACCCCTCTCGAGTGGAAAGAGGATCAAACAAGTCGACCGAATGATACAGATGGAGAGATGTACTCTCGATTCACTACCGGAGGAAGAGGTCAGGGAGAAGGGGGCACGGAGAGTCAAATGAATTTTCCTTTTTGTTTTGCGCCTCTTCCCATGAAATCCGGTAAGGTGTCTAGCTAGCTAGCTCTATCTCTTCCCGTCAGAGTATGGGATGATCGGAGACGGGCTGCGTGGGTTCTGGAGTCGAGGCACGGCTCTAACGATCGACCGATCGAATCCTTTCCATTCCATTCATCTACCGCGTTCACCTTGCTTTTTTTGTTTTTTTTTGTTTGTCAGTCCCCGTGTCACGTAGTCACACACATCGTCATCATAGTCATCCGACGGCCTGTATTGCTGAGCCTCGAGAAGAAAAACCTCGGGTCCTCTTCTGTGGGGCAAACGGGCGCGCACACACAAAGGGCTCAAGAATCTCAGGCTGAGCTTGCGGTGATGATGCCTACTTTCATCCTCCAGACCCGCGTGCCCATCCGAGCTGCGTGGCGTAGATCGTTCTGAAAGTCGCGCCAGCCAAGAGCAATGACCCGCCACTCCTCCTCGGTAAAGTCGTCGACGTTGGACCGCGGTGCTGGATTTGCTGGAGAAGAGTGCTCGGCGCGTGTTGGATTGGAGAGGGATACCTGCGGCGCGGGGAGGTGGCTCGTCGCGTCCAACATCTCGCGGTCGGCGACAGTGTGGTCGCGAGCACCACCGAGGTGGGACTGGGTTGAGATCTCGGCACGAGCGACACCGCCAGCACTGTGCTTCTCTGCGAGGGTGGAACGTGTAGCAAGGTTGGTGGGATGCCGGACAGCCTGGTTCTCAAAGCGTCCGGTCGACACGAATCGGCAAATGTCATTCCATCCGTAACTGAGTACCTAACCCAGAACAGCTGATGGGGAAACGTCGACGCGGTAGCATGCTCCGAGGAAGAATGGTGCAAGGTTGTGCTCTTGGACGGGTGCAGAGGGCCACTGGTACGCTGGTGCAAGGGACGCCGCGGCCGTGTGCGAGATGGTATTGAAGTTGCTTCGTGTAGGCAGGCGAGAGACGCTGATGTAGACAGACATAATCGACGGGAGCGATGGCGGGATGAGTGCTTGAGAGCCCAGGGATCGAGGTAAGATTGGGGCTCCGTGCGTCATGAAAGGCTCGTTCGATTGTGATGCGCGGTGCTGACGATGGTCATCATCATGGTAGTGAGCGAGGCCAGGATTCGGCTTGTCTGTTTTGGCAAGGCTGGCAGTATTGCTCTCTTTCTCCGGCTTCGCTTCATGCGTGCCTTGATCGTCATCCAACTCCTCGACTCGCATGACATGAGTTTGCCATAGTTCCTCAAACGTGTGCGGGTCACTGTTGGCGCGGATCTCGACCAGACGCACAATAAGGTCCATGATGGCCTCCTCTGTATGATCGGAATCCATCCTCTGCGCGGCAGGAGGAGCCATTCGGGCGATGTGCGCGGCCAATTTGTCTAATTTCGCAGTAGCTCGGGCACGGGCGCGCTCATAAGCAGTGGTTGGTAATGAAGAAGAATGAGTGTCCGCGTCGGCCAGGTATAAATCTTCACCATCAGTCTCGGCGCGCCTGGAAAACCTGCCCCGTTGTGTTGGGCCTTGTCGGCGGCGAGTGAACATCAGATTGCGCATTTGACGCCACAGAGGATCGATTATCGGAAAGAACCTATCAAACTTCCTGTCAGCGACGGGTACAGGGTCTCATCGCGCAGTCATCGTCCACCTCAGCACGGCCCATGTCTCATACCTCTCGTCTAGAATGTTATTCTTGCCCTTGATGTAGATCAACTTGGCTTCCCCTTCCTCAAGATCAGTATCTGCGAGGACCCATTCCGACCCGGGTTTCCAAATGATGTACGCGAAGGCTCGGATTAGGAATTCAGTGACGTTCTTCAGACTGGAATCAGAGCCTCGCTGAATGAGCTTGTGATGTCTGTTCCGAATGACACGGATGACTCCACTGTGGAATTGCTGGTACCTGTCCGCGCGGATCTGCATCTGGCGGAAGATGGGTGCGTAGATCTCGCCATTCAGTTCGACAGAGACGATCGTAGTATCGGTAAGTTTGCGTAGTTCATTGCCCGGCACGCTGCTCAGATCTGGGAAGGACAGCTCAGGCTGCAAACCATGTGCATCAGCCTCAGGTTCCGGGGGAGGTTCGCTGGGAGGTCCTGGTGACGCCATGCTCAGAGTAGTGAGATTCTGAAAGACACGACTGACTCTCAGAATTAAAGATTCAAGCAAAATATGAATAGAGAGAGATCAGCAGTGGGAGCCTTGGTGCTGGTTTCTGGGAGTTTCCGGTGAAAGCATGCATGGACAGGATGAGTGCAGCAGAACCTTTGTCTGGCAAACGATGCATTTTAACGTCCACGACCTTCACGAACTCAACAAACAGTGAATTCAAAGTCATAATTTGAAGATGACATTTCATTGTGAGTGACAAAGTCTCCTCCTCCCTCTCCTAACAAACAACGCCAACTCTTTCAACATTCAACATGGGCGAAACCTGACGCATCGCGGTCTGCACTGTCCTACCGTTGTACAATTGCACACTCCGTCATTATTGGTCTTCGTTGTGATTTCTGGGTGACTACCCGCTAGGGAGAAGCTGGAATTCTGGAGATATTCGAGAAAGGGAGTCAAGGATTTGCCGAAAGATTGACATTGTGATTGGGCCAATCTCGCTTCAAGCCACGTTGGTAAGATCGACGGGGACAGGCCCTGTGAATTGCACCCCAGCACTTGGTAACCTTGGGCGCTTGAGCGTTTGCGCCGTTGAGCCTGTCTCCTGCCGGGGTCTTAAGCCCTAACTGCTCGTTGTCGGCAAGCCGGAACGCCTGGTTAGGTGCCCCAAGAGAACCGTTCCAGCCGCCCTGGGAAAGTATCGCGCTGACAGCAGAAGCTTGGGCCTGTCATCCGCAATTCCGCCATACTAGTACCATGGTAGTGTGGCTTGTGCTCCTGACCTGAGGCCTCCCTACTCGGTACTACTGTGTGTTTGCCTGCGTCAGGCACTTTTCCATCACGGTTGCCACCATCGTCCCCGTCATAACGCGCTTCTGCAGTCTCTCGCCTCATGTCCTCATAGCGACACCTCCACCAAGCTCCCTCCTTGTTCTTACTCCTCTCTAACGCCCACATCCGCCGACAATGTCATGGAAGCTCTAATCTATAATGACTCGCCGATTGCAGAATATCTAGAAGGAGACGCCATCCCCTTCGAAGCCACCGAGCCATCCTCCCCTGTCTCATGCGCCCAACGAACCTATGCCCCTCGCGGCTTGCCAAAGCTGCGCGAGCAGTTACGAACGATTCGCCAAACCGCTGCCTCCGTGACTGATGTTGCAAACGAACAGTTCCTCGAGCGGTTTCGCTACGTGATCGTCGCCTCCCAGCTCCTCGCGGACGAACCGAAGCCGAGACGACAACCTCTTCAAAATGAACAACCCTTCGCACCACATTCTCTCTCGCTCAGAGGTGCTTGTATAACAGCCGGAATTTCCTTTTCAGTCGCATGGTCGCTTCATCTACTCCAGCGGGGATATCGAACATCTCAGTCACATCATTCAACTTCGTCGGAAATATGCGTGTACTCGTTGTCCCTATTGGGGGTTTGTCTGGTTCTTTTGTACTTCGGAAGGCGTCAATATCTCGAATTTCTCCGGCAATGTGCAGGGTTGACGTTAGGGAATCTGGTGACGAATTCGCATAACTATGATAGCAGCGCAGTTGAGGCGCTTCGTTTTATCCAGGAGGTCGAGATTGTCTCCCGTGGGTATGAGATGTGAGTTCCTGGGTTGTGGCAATCTCATGTTACTTCGCCTTCGCTGACACACATTAGAAGCCAACCACTACCGCCAATCAGTCGACTGGAAGACAAGAACTCATTGAGTCGTTGTCGTGATCTACGAGCCACCCTTGGAGTTACCTTGACCGCCAACATCATACGATGTGTTGAAGCTCATAATGCCATTCAACCATTTGTGAGGGACCTCGACCTGAAAAGATATCATGACGTATACGAGATCTCGATGCAGGATTATAGCGACGCCGTGGCGGTTGCCAACAACTCTCCTCTCGACACCCGGGACTCTCTGAAAGAACTTCGCTTCCTTTTCCGACTTCATCTCATCGCGAGAAAAGTGATCCTTTGTGATCTGTTGGCCCTTCACTCTGGCTCAACCTGGTACAACGTCCGCCAGTGGCGACTGATATGCCATGTGCTGCAAGGGTTAGAGGATGTACTTTCCCAAGCAGGTCAACAACTCCACACTGCTATAGTGCATGAGGAGTATGGCGAAGCCTGCCAGGACACGGTGTCGGAAGACGCCGAAACAGCAGCTGAACGGATCATAGACGCCACTACACCGCAAAAACGACACACCAAGGCTCAATTACGCCGATTTGAAGCGGTGGCCAACGCTATACGATCCCTGAACGCCAAAGTCCACCTGCTTAGAGAAGAGATAAACTCTCTCAAGTCGAAAGATGACTCCGCCCTCAGCATGGCCATCACTGGGCATTACGATCAGCTAGGGGCTGAGATTCGAAACGCCCTAGTCGAGTGGGAAAAGGGGCGAAACACCATGTTCCTCAACGTTGGGACCGAACGTGACAATCGTTTCTCCATATCGTCCAGCGGCATGCGATCACCAGCGTCGCCCTCTCCGAGCAGTCTGGGTGGACTGACGGTGGTGGATGGAGGACCTGCAGAAGCACTAAAGCTGCTGAGTGGCGACGAACGGAGCTCGTCTGATGGGGGCGTAGGATTGGATGAAGAGGTGTTTGAAGCGGTGGCCTTGCCACGCAAGAGGATGTCTTGGGCGCCAATGAGCCGCGAAGAGAAGCTCAACAAACTTCAAGAGGACCGGAGGAAGCGGGCGACCTTTCAGGAGCACGCCGAAAATACAACCAACATGCTGCGGGAACTGCAGATGGTAATCAAACATCGCCCTCCGGCCAGATCTGATACGCGCATCACTTCGATATAACCCACCCCTCGTGGTCTCGTCCGCTGCACGTCGGCTTCCCCTAGTCCGGGGCCTGTGTGATTTCGAATCGAGACTTACCTTGTTTCAATATTGACGACAATAATTTCATGAAGCACATGCAGGGAGTTCAGGGGATGGTTCTCGGCCATACACCAGGTGTGGCTGGCTTTTCTTTCGCGGGAGAAATATCGGGCGTTTTCAAACAACCAAAAAAAAGGTTCAGGTCATTTACCGAGGCAGGAAGGTCATATTTCGGTTGGACATATTGTGCGTTTCGGGCATTTGCACGAAGTTTCCAAGCTGGTTTGCGCCGAATGGGAGAGGGCGATGCGAGAAGGTGGCCTCAGGGGTGGCTTGCTCAGCGGATAGCTGGGACTGCGGTGGGTGGGTAATGGAGACGGTCGAAGCAGAAACAAAGACCAAGATGGCGAGACCAGAAGGTTTACACATAATCTCTTTTGTGAAGTGGTGGTTGCCAATTTGTGATGGCACTGGACACATGAGGGTTTCGAGACGGGTGGTGGTTGATGATATAAAAACTGTGGGCAGTCTTGACCATATCGGACTCGGAACAAAGTGCTACATAATCCTCCGTTGTTGCCCTGCGTTGATCGCTGCAGGGTGTTTAGTAATTGCTGCAGAGCTCTCGCTAGAATCCCTCGGAAGGGAATACAACCGCTGGGGTTCGGTGGGAGAGCGAACTCGGATCACTGAAGAGGCCGGAAGTGTGGCTGATGAGGGCACGAGGGAGCCCTTGTCATTTGCCGTGCCTTGCGTGAGAGAGTAACCGCGAGCCCGACCCCGTGGGCTGGTTGACTTCTGGTTGGGCCGACAGCAGAGTCTGAGCCACAGGCAGCGGGATGTAAGGTCGACCCGGCACCGACGCCAGTCCAGTTAAAGCCCTACAGACCAAATCGAGTTGGCCCAGTCAGGGCTCCTGTTGCGTTATTTCCCGATCTTGTCCTTAAGAGTTAGGTATGGTCTTTGATGGAGTTATTCTCTGTGCTTGTACGAAAAGTGTAGCCCTCATCGACGCCGTCGCTGCGTTGTTTTTTGTTCCTTTCTCCCTCTCGATCCTCCTTTCTAGCTTTCGACATTCTTCGCTGTTTGAATTTCTCGGCCGTGGGATTTCGGGGAATCTTTTCTCGCGAGGTGGTACGCTAGGCGGGTCGCGGACGACGTAATATTAATAACTGTGTACCTCGTACTTGGTAAAGCATCATGGAAATTTGCGATATTGGCTCATTGCGATTCCCGTTCCTCGCTTCCGCAAATGCCTTGGCGCATCAGCATTTCCTACTTCCACCGAAATACTCCCTTACCTCCCACCTACTTTAGTCAGATCTGAGTTCTTCCAACGTCGTTCAGATTCCCATAGCATGCAAATGCCCATCATATCGGGCGAGAAGAAAGGGACAAAAGGCCTCATACTGGCGCTATTCGTCTCGGACCTCTTCGATCGGTCTGCATCCACACCCTCGCAGTACCCCTGGTGCCTTTTTCGAATCCAGTCAGCCGGCCCCCACCGAGCCCTTTCCATTCCTGTGCTATGTTTCCTCTTTGCTCGGCCCAGACCTGCGACCCGTGGCAGTTGAAACGACGTCTTCAAGGGTAGCGGCGATACTACGGGGACCCCTCGACAGCCCCGAGAGCCATGCTATCTCCTGTTGCGCCGCCCAGAGATCTCAAAAGAGCAGTAGGGCATTTTGAGGTGATACTGTAATCGACACCCTTTTCCCATGCTTTGATCGCTAGGCCCATGTCCCAAACGCCGTCTTCTTTGCCACAGATGTTAGGCAAAGTCTTTTGGAGAATGTCGTATTGTGGCTGCAGGTAAGTCCAAGCCTCTTTTTCCCTTCCAGAGGGGACACCTATCTCTTTCCGGATCTCTTTGACGATCGTCCTAATGGGCCGTCTCGTTCCCACACCCTCGTCAGCTCTAGGTCTTTGGCCATATATCTCCAGCAGCCGGACGTTGCCCCTGGGGCCTTGGTTGGAAGAGCGCATTTGCCACGCGCCAACTTGCAAGGTTTGATCTCGTGGTCCTATAGAAGTGTTATTACAGCCTGACGGTGGCTCGAAACTCATCAACGAGCCCTCTCTGCACATGTAAGTATTGTCTAAGGATTGGCAACGACTCTTGTGATTCGTCTGCCTGTCACGCACTTTCTGTCTCCATTTGACCCTGTCGCCTGCGAATCAATCAAGACGGCCACTTCTCATCGCAGCTGCCCTCTAGGTATATAGTAGCCACGAGGTGCTGTGGCTGAAGTCTATTTCAATCTCTCACAATCCAGGACTCTTGGGAAAATCTCCTTCTCATACCTTCGTTTGGAAGGATTGGATATGTCGAGTGTGGCAGTATTTGTTGTACCTACTCCTCGCTGCATCTTCGAAACGGGCAGTATAGACCTTGTCTAACCAACTTGATCATCTCTCACCCATTGTCCCCTTTCAAATATCGCAGCATGTCGCACCAGGGGCCGAGGCTGGATGGTCTCAACCTGATCGAGGAAGCGCAAATCGAAGGGGCCATCCGGGAAGTCAGGCGCATCGCCGACACAAATCCTTCTGCTCCAGAATCATGGGAACAACGCCTACACATTGCGCGTACGGCCATCGCCACGCTGGACGCGACGGGGTTCGTGCAGATGCCTAACAGAAATACCGACCGTACATTCGTCATCGCGACGTTACAAAGTCTGGCTTATCATGATGCGGAAGGTGTTGGTGTCCCCGATATCGCGGAGTGGTGCATGAACCAGTGGTTATTGCTACTCCAGAGAAATACCGAAGATCTCTCTGCGCTCAGGGGTTAGTCAAACTCGCACAGCTTACCAATCCTTCCCTTCTCCAATACACCTACTTACATAATTTCAGGGCTGGGTCAAGCGTGGCTAGCTCGATCTCAAAGCGTCCTCGCACGAATCCACCGCACCGAAGGCAGCTCCTCCAGTGGCAGCAGCGGTCGACCTCAGAGTCTAAGCGAGAGATTGTCGTATTCGACGGCCGAGGAGTCTAGGGATGCAGAACGAGCAACTGCCGAAGCCGACGCCAGAGCACACACGGCCGATTATGTGGAAGCACGCGGGATGCTGATTCCGGCGGTCGACTATTTCTCTAGGGCTGTAAACGTGGCCGAAAGAGATGGAGAACCCACCGGAGAACTACTCTCAGAGGTCAGGACGATTTCCTCCTTGGTCCATATATCCACTTCCCCTCCACATCTCAACTTGAACCTGAAAGGCACAGGGCTAACCATGACTTCACCATCTACAGGCGGCTGAAGCCAACATGAGTCTTGGAAACGTCTCATATTCCCACCAGAACGAGCAATACTTCCACAGGGCTATACGCTACTTGCGGCGAGCCTCGCAGATACCCGGCTTTCGCTTATCTGCTTACCTACAGAGGTACTGGATACCTTGCGATCCCCTTTCCACGACAGTCTTCGACTAACTAGGTGCATAGTTACCTTGATGATTTTGGCCGGTTGGTAGACTAACATTTCAGTCGGGTTCGAAGCTTTTCTTACGCAATGACGCGTGCAAGGGGGACGGGAGCAAGGTTGCTGGCAACCAACGCCCTGGGGCTTTTCATTTTCGGTTTATTTCCATGTTACATATTCTGCGGTATTTATTTTCTGTAACCAGCCAGGTCACAACCAACAGCGTATCAGATCGTTGCATTGCACGGAAAAATGTTCCCTGCCTTTTCGATCACATTTCCTTTGCAGTCTGGGAAAGGCGATCTGGAGGGCCCCACGACCTCCTTTCCCTGCGAGTCTTGGCCCTATCAACCATGAGACTCTGAGCATATTCAAACTTTTTTTGGATCCCTGGCCTTGGATCTTATGTTCCATTGCATCGTGGTGCCGTGCACTCCACAGAGAACGACAGACTTTTCTCCGTCGGCTGCAGTCCACGAGCCTGAGATTGCCCTTGCTGCCACGTTGTACTAGTGAGGACCCGGTAATCGGTTCCACGTCGCCACATGCCAGGCTCCACTGTGCTTCACCAGGGAAGCCCATAACATGTGGGCGTTGACGGTCACATGCGGTTCACTCGGGAAAGACGGCTGAGAAAGGTCTGCACGTCGAGTGTAACGGTGGCGGTAACAGACACAAACCCCCACCAGGATAGAAAGCTGGACATGTAGAGTGGTAAGAAAGGAACGCCAGGGTGCCATGGTGCATCATACCCTGAGGGATGGACATTACGAATGGGTTGGCTATTGCTGCAGGAGAATTTGGGTACTCGTACTCGTTCCCTTTGTTGCGATGTCGGGGGAACATTCGGATAGGCCAGTATTGTGTGGCGAATACGCTGGGGCGGATACTGGGAGGTCCAAGTACGAGGTACTCGTAGGGCCACGAGGCTGAGCCGGACACGGGGGCGGCCTTGCTGCCTACTCGTAGGTACCTGCCAGTGTTCGTCATTCGTCATAAGCAGGGCGCGGCGCCGCACGTGACACGCCAGGTTGAGAATGGACTTGATTGCGCATGCATGGAAGATCGGGTGAGATCAAGAGCCAGTAGTCTGTCTGTGAGAAGTCGAATGTCCTTAGTGCACATCCCTAACAGGGGCCATACCACTGCTCAACGACCAAGGAGAGGGAAAGAACCGGGTTGTGCATCTGCAGGTTGTCTGGAAAGGGTTGGAACTCGGGCAAACATCAAAGCAGGACTGGACTTTTGCTCTCTCGAAGCGAGAACATCCAGTAGTATGGGAAAGCTGCAAAATGCCTCTCGCCTTGGGGGAATTTCCAACAGCCACGATGACGCAGTAGTGAGTGAGCAGTAGGACAATCCCGGCGGATGGACAGATCGCTTCATAAAAGGAGGCTCGGCAGGGCGGAAGTCTCAGCACGTGATCATGAGCCAAGACCAGGGCGTAAGTGGTTCGAAAGCGGTTTAGCCTCGAAACGCGCTTCGCGACTCGTGTCGTGCAATATCGAAATTCGTGACCTGTGTGCTTGTCCATTGCGGCTTTGTAGTCCCATCCCATTGCTCAACGATCAAGTACAGTCTGCCAAAATCAATTCGTCCTCACCGATCTATCTCTCTCACAAAGCCAAGGCACACAACAATCGCCAACAGTGAGCACTAGGAATTCCGTACAGGCGGGACGCTGGCTAACATCCCTGTAGTGTTGGAAGCACGTCTCGAACAGGCAGCGATGCTGAAGAAGGTACTGTCACCATCCCGTGGCTCCAAACTGGCTTCTAATCGACTTCGCAGGTCGTGGATGCCATCAAAGACCTTGTCCAAGACTGTAACTTTGACTGCAATGACTCTGGCATTGCGCTGCAGGCCATGGACAACTCGCACGTCGCCCTCGTCTCCATGATGCTCAAAGCAGAGATGTTCTCTCCCTACCGATGCGACCGCAACATAGCCCTCGGCATCAACCTCAACTCCCTGACCAAAGTCATCCGTGCCGCCCAGAACGAAGACATTCTCACCATTAAGGCCGAAGACTCTCCCGACGTGGTGAACCTCGTCTTTGAGAGTAGCGACACGGATCGTATTAGCGAATACGATATCAAGTTGATGGACATTGACCAAGAGCATCTGGGAATCCCCGACACTGAATATTCAGCTACCATCGAGATGCCGAGTGCCGAATTCCAGCGCATTTGCCGCGATTTGATCGCCATGTCGGAGTCAGGTACGTGGCATGGCGACAAGATTTGGACACGACCGGAAGAAAAAAATAACTCATGCTGATTTTATACAGTGTCGATCGAAGCAAGCAAGGACGGCGTCCGTTTTTCGTGTCAAGGTGACATCGGCAGCGGCAGCGTCACCATTCGACAGAACTCATCCGTGGACAAGCCAGACCAAGAAGTAAAGATCGCCCTGAGCGAACCTGTCTCTCTGACCTTTTCACTCAAATACCTCGTCAATTTCTGCAAAGCAAGCAGTCTTTCTACAAAGGTCAAACTCTGCCTCTCCCAGGAAGTGCCTCTTTTGGTGGAATACAACCTGTCGGGAAGCAGCTATCTGCGGTTCTATCTAGCCCCCAAGGTATGCCTTTCCGGCAAGACGCCATGCGCAATCATCTAGGCACTGACTCGGGTGTTTTACAGATTGGTGATGATGAGTGAACGAGGAATGCTTAGGATGACCACGGCAAATGCTTGTATGGAGTCACAGATTTACGACAATGTGATGCGGTCAATGGTGGTAGGGGCTGTTACGGATTTGCGCAAATTATCAAGGACAATCCCGGCTTGTGTTTCAGGGCCTGTTTACGGGCAGGATGTATCATGGGGATGGCCGCCAGCCACTGCCGCACCCAGTCCGTTGAATGCAGAACTCATCTTCTCATGTCACAATCCCATGGATAAAGGTCGTGTCGACCCTTGAGGTTAGAGGTGGCATCTTCGCTCCAGATCCAGATCCAAATCTATCACCGTCCAACTGATTGCTTCGTTGTAGTTCTGATTATATTCTATGGGGATCAATTAGACACCCCTTGAGGATCAGTTGGGAGGGACTGAATTCAAGGTGCCGGGACAAGTTTGTTACTGAGAACTGTAGTTAAATGTGCTTAGCTTCATTTACAGATGACACATAGCAGCATGTTCATAATTAAAGGAATTGAGGAGTTTGCAAGATCCCTTCAATGTACTTGGTATCTTATCGGCATTGGGCGGCGAGGCTCTGGTGGGATGGAGAGGCGGAGGAGGGGCGGTTGATGTCATACTTTTTTCTCACCCAAAAAAATGATTTGAATTGATATTACATGCACATATCCGAGGATAGCCACTGAGCCAATGCTTCGCGGTCACTCTTGTATACTCTTGACTATTTCTGCTCTCACGATAGATTATTAGAGGCGACAGACGCCAGGACAAACGGGTCTCCTTTCTCTAACGCCATACCATTCGTTCGCTCAATACCCCTCAGAGAGCCTTTCCTGAGAGTTGCAGAAGACCTCCCTCACCCATCCTCCCCCTTATCGTGCCGCAACCTCGAGGAAGATGCGATGACGTCCTGTGAAATGTCGATACCAGAAACAAAAGTTCTGGCCATAGCGAGCCATGTACGTTGACTCTTTGTTCCTCTGCTCCCATGCTTCACGTTTATCTAGCGGGCTCAATCCCGGGGTTTTCCCCCTATACTGCGCTTTCAAGTCCCGTTACGAGACGATATAAGTCTGGCTGGTCGGCTGGCTAGGGTTCCAGGAAATCGGGTCAGTCGGATAGATCGATGGGCTGACAAAGATGAAACCGTGCAAGGTCGTCTACGGGTGAGTTTCTGTCTCGGTGCGAAGACTTTTTTCCTCTTTCTTCCGTCTTTGTCACTGCGCACGTGCGCCGCAGCCACGGAGACCAAAGCGATGAGATTGCTATGGGATGGTAACTATGATGCTGCTGCTGCTCCGTCGGAATCTTGTGTGGCCTCTACACGAAGTCAAAGTCGAAATCAAAGTCAGTGGCTGACGGTATCTGGCGGATTGTCTGTCTTGTTCAGCTATGTCGGCAATACGATGGCCACCTTCGTGATGCAGGCGCTTGGTTGCGACGTTGGAGCCATCAATACTGTGCATTTCAGTGAGTTACTGTTCTTTTCCGTCCCCTTGTTCTCCTGGCATGGTCTACATCTGCGACGGGACATCGAACTATGCGATGACAACAATCCCTTCGTCCTGCCCTCCATCGCCAACCCCCGAGTCGGCCAGGTCGCCTCTTCTCTCTCTGCATAATCCATCAGTCATTCCTTTTGACATGAGCATTGGTCTGACCATAACTCTTTGCTCCCACTCCAAAGGCAACCACACAGGGTACCGCCAATTCAAGGGCCGGAGGACTCCCGCGGCCGAAATTCGCGAGTTGTATGATGGTCTGCGGCAATCCTACTTGACCGACTTTGACGTACTGCTATCGGGCTATTCGCCCTCTGCCGAAGTCGTCGATGCCGTCGGCACCATCGCCCGCGACCTCCGGTACCGCGCCGCCGTCCGTCCAGGCGGGTTCTTTTGGGTCTTGGACCCCGTGATGGGTGACCAGGGCCGACTCTACGTCAGCCAGGACATCGTGCCCGCGTACAAGCAGCTCATCAAGGAGGCCGACCTGATCCTCCCGAACCAGTTTGAGGCCGAACTCCTCAGCGGCGTGACCATCTCGAGCTTGAGCGGTGTGGCCAACGCGGTGAGAGCGCTGCATGTCATACATGGGACCCGACACGTGGTGGTGACCAGCGTGAGGGTGGGCGATTCCGCAGCGCCCTCCGCCGATGGAAGTGAGGAGAGAGGAGCCGCACTGACCGTGGTGGGGAGCACTCGGCGGCAAGACGGCAGCGCGCGGCTGTTCAAGGTCGAGGTGCCGGTTCTCGAGTGCTACTTCAGCGGCACGGGCGACATGTTTGCGGCGCTGATGGTGGCGCGGCTGCGCGAGGCCTGCGCCCAGATGAACCTGCTGGACCGGCCGTCGTGGATGCCCGACGACGACGTCGAGGCCGTCGACCTCCCGCTCGCCCGCGCCACGGAGAAGGTGCTGAACAGCATGCACATGATCCTGGAGAAGACCATGGCCGCGCGGAACGAGGAGATGGCCAAGTTCGGCTCCAGCCCCGGCGCGAGCGTCGGCGGTCTCGAGGGCCAAGGCGAAACCGAGGGCGAGGGCAAGCGCAGAGCCCTGGCCGAGAGCAAGGCCGCCGAGGTGCGCGTGGTGAGGAATGCAAAGGACTTGGTCTACCCAGAGGAACGGTACAAGGTTCAGCCAATCGGGGTGTAAATGGCCTATCTGTCCAAGACAATGTGGAAGAAGGGGAACGGATCAGAGAAAAGACGGAAGATTTGGGGGTTTGACTGTATTTTTCCCAAGAGGCACGGGCATGTGGGTATGAATTCCAACCATTTGCTCGAGCGACCCGACAACCCCCCTTCCCTACACAGGGTACAGATATCACACATAACATCATAAACTCCCCGTTTTCTAGCCTATTCTAGTATTTGCCATGGATTTCCCTGTACCACACCACGCCCCAAAAGACACTGACAAACTCCTTCCTATCCAGCAAGTCCGAGCTCGTTATCAGCAGGCGGACGAAAACACCTCAGCCGGTGCTCCCAAACCCGCCCGCCCCTCGGACACTCTCCTCGAGATTGTCGACCTCGACGACCTCGGGCGTGTAGATGCGCTCCAGGACCAATTGGGCGATGCGGTCACCCTTGCTGACCTGGAAATCGACCTCGCCGTGGTTGAACAGCAGGACCTTGACCTCGCCGCGGTAGTCTGCGTCGATGACGCCCGCGCCCGTGTCGATGAAGTGTTTCGCGGCCAGGCCCGACCGGGGCGCGACGCGGCCGTACGTGCCTTCGGGCGTGGCGATGGAGAGGTCCGTCGAGACGAGGGCCTTGCCTCGCGCGGGGATCGTGGTGGGTTTCGAGGCGTACAGATCGTACCCGGCGGCGAAGGCCGAGCCGCGCGTCGGCGTGGAGGCGTCGGCGGAGAGCTTCTTGATCAAGAGGGGCGGCTGCGACGAGGGGGAGAGTTGTGGCACTGCCGTGGAGTTGGTCGTGGGAGACATCTTGGCTGGAGGAGCGTCAGACTTGACACGTTTGGCTAGTGGAGAGTTGGGCAGTGAGGGTGGTAAGTGGTCTGCGTTCTTTGTTTCTGTGGATGGAGGGGGAGTCGACGTTCTCGTCATTGCTTTTGCAAGGGAAAAGATCTTGTTTGAGAAGGGAAAATGACAGTAATGGGTAGCAAACGCCTCGACGCGAAGCCACACATTTGGAGAGCGCGAAACCCCTCGACGCGTGGGGAGCGCGTTCTTGCGCTTCAAGGGGGAAATCGTGGCAATTGACATGTTCCATGGAAATGTTGCGCCGTACAGGTACTTGTAGTCCTCCGTACAGCACTTGCGCTTGCTTCGCCGCGAATGGAATTCCGTAAAGCCGCCCAGGCCGACATTGGTGCCATGGCTATTATTCCGTGACCAAATTCCGGTGGCTTCCCTCTGCCCTCTGCCCCCAAACTACAAAACCGAGGTAATTGATCATGGCCTCGGCCTCATTGGTGACGGTCGACCCCAGCGAGCCAGCAACGAAAAGCCACGCCGACATTTGTCCAGCTTTGTTTTCCTTTTTGATAACGAGTGCTTCTTGAAAGCTGGCCCTCGTTTGTCTGTTACTCTGGTGTGTCTAACTGTCTGCTTCGACAACTAGCTAGACGGACAGCCATGGCAGGCCCAGTGCGGCAGCCGATTGACCTGGCTTCTCTGGAGCGGTACATCGACAGCAATGTCCCCGAGATCAAGCCGCCCCTCCAGTTGAAGCAGGTATGTCTGTCCCCCTCCTCGCGCGCGCTTGCTGGATTTGATCCCTGGCGACCGAGTACTTTCGTGTTGGGTTCTTGGGTTACTGACGAGTCTCTTCGCCATTAGTTCGGGTTTGGTCAATCGAATCCCACGTACCAAATCACCGACTCCACGGGGACCAAGTTTGTGATGCGCAAGCGGCCTCCGGGGCAATTACTCTCCAGAACCGCCCACCAGGTCGACCGCGAGTACAAGATCATCAACGCCCTGGGCAAAACGGACGTGCCCGTGCCAAAGGTCTACTGCCTGTGTCAGGACGACAATGTCATCGGCACGGCCTTTTACATCATGGAGTTTTTGGACGGGCGCATGGTGACTGAGCCGCACTTTCCTGGGTTCAGTCCCGAAGAGCGAAGAGAAATGTAAGGGCTGGGATGAAACCCGCGGTGACAAAAGCGAATGGAAGAAAGTGCTAACGTTCGTACTTGTTACACAGGTGGCACGACGCGGTTCGGACACTGGCAAAGTTCCATCGGGTCGACTTCAACAAGATCGGCCTCTCCGACTTTGGGCGCCACGGAAACTTTTACGACCGCCAGCTAAAGACGTTTGGGACCCTGTCAAAAGTGCAGGCCGAGGCGGTCGACGTCGAGACCAAGAAGCCCGTGGGCGCGATCCCGCACTTTGACGAGATGGTGGCCTTTTTCAAGCAAAAGTCGACGCAGCCCAAGGACCGCGTCACGCTGATCCACGGCGACTACAAGATCGACAATCTGGTGTTCCACAAGACGGAGCCGCGCGTCATTGGCATCTTGGACTGGGAGATGGCCACCATCGGGCATCCTTTGTCGGATCTGGTCAATCTGGCGGCGCCGTGGGGTTGGGTTGGGAGAAACTTGGGCACGGCTCACGCCGACAGCGGGAACGAAGTCTTCAGGGACGGCGTCACCCCGGGGCTGCCCACCTGCAGCGAGGTCGTGCAGTGGTACGCCGAAGCCTCGGGCTACGACGCCGCCAGCGAGTTCGCCTGGGGTAATGCCTTTGGCGGGTTCCGGGGAGCGATCATCATGCAGGGCATCGCGGCGAGGTACGCCCGGCGGCAGGCCAGCGGCGTGACAGCCAGAAACTACGGGGCGCAGATGCCTCTGTTTGGAGAGTGGGCGTATGGCTTGGTCAAGAACTTGCAGGAGTCGTCACCGGGCAAGGCCAAGCTATGACGAGAATTCACGCGGCGTAAGCATAAGTTACAGTAGATGGCTCTAGATCTCCAGGGAGAAGAGGAGGAGTGAGAGGGACGGAGGGAAAGGCAAGAAATACTTTGACTTGCACATAACCATCACCGTCACCATAACAATGACCTCGTATATATGAATTAAAATATAAGGAGCGATGGTTGGGAGACCATGACCTCGTATATATGAATTAAAATATCAAGGAGCGATGGTTGGGTTTGGGAGAAAGGAGGCAATCCGTCCTCGTCCTCGTCCTCTGCCTCAGACTCGGAAATCATTCATGGATTGGAATCAATCGGACGACAGGTTGACAAGTCATCTCGTCACCAGGTCATTGATATCCATATCCATTCATCCAGGGAAATGTGCTTGTCATTGTCCTCATCCTTGTCCCTTGTCCTTGTCCCCATTCCCTTGTCCCCGAAGCCAGCCTCGACCACAACCTCCAGCGCTCAGTAGATTTTGTTTAGAAGAGGACCACCCGACTCCTGATTGAAGGGCCCGAAAACCGAGTACCTAGGACATAAGTACCTGGGACTTGGTATCTCGTACCTACAAGTAGTTATCGACCCCGTCTTGTACAGTAAGTAAGAAAGTACTCGGGGGTCTCTGCGCCTGTGTGGCTGCTTGGTCTGGGCGGGTAGGTAGGTAGGTAAGGTATTCAGGTATTGTATACAGGCAGGTTCTGTGGGCAGGAGTAGGTAGGTAGATAGGTAGGTAGGTAGGTAGGTAGACAGGTACTGTGAGTAGTAGGTAATTCAGGCGCTTGAGGGACTGTATGTAGATACCAGAGGTACTGCTCGTAGATAGATAGGTACCTTGTGTTTGTCCGTGGGTAGGGTAGATACTCGTGCGCGGTACAGCGAGTACCAAGTGGTCCTTGAATATTGGATATTTCCTACCATTCACTCACTCACTCACTCACTCATTCATTCACTGAGCTGGGTTGGAGGGAGGGTGGCCGGTCCGTCGATCCGTCCAGGCTCCTCCTATGTGCCTCCCAAATATCATTGTTTGCTGACACTCCTTCCCTAACCACCACTGGCGCGTCCGTCCGTGTCATCTGCCGTCGGGGACCATTTGGTTGGAAAATACCTACCTACACCTCGTATACTCGTATACTCGTAACATTTCCCCCTTCTCTGCCTGTGTGCCGTCTCCTTGCGTGTCTCTCTCTCTGTGTCTCGAACCCCACCACCTGCCCTTTCCGGCGACCTTTAACGACCGGCTTGCGCCCGGCTGGTCTCAACACCCGGTCCTTGCCCTTCTGTCTACCATAACAGACATGACAGACAAGGGACTGAAAACAGAACCTGCATGCGGTAAGCGAGTAGGATTGACTAGTCGCACCCGACACCACCAAAAAAGGGAGCGGAGGCGGGATGAGAGCCGCCAAATGCCGCATTTCGGGGAATGGCAGTACAGTCAGCCATGGACCATCAAAACGCATCCTGAAACATATATACTTGGTACGAGTAGGTAAAATAGTCGTCGACCGAGGAGGAACCTCTAAAAAAGAGGATGACGATGATGAAAAAATAGCTGTCCGGAGGCTAGCTAGAGCCATAGCTTGAGTTTTTAATCCCCGATGATCTGAGAGCCCGTCGTCAACAGGAAGAGAGTGGCGAGGTACACGAATATATTCTTGTCTCGATCCAAAATGGCGCCGCACACTCGCAGGTCGACCAAACCCTAGCCCAACGTCAAATCAGCGAGTCGGCGACAGCTTTTCCCTTTGGGCCCCGTTGCCTTTCTGGGTAAATTGATTGCAAAAGGTGCTTCTGGAGCTGTACAAGTAAAAAGTCCAGCAAGGGCCACCCCAGCTCGTTCACATAAGCAAGCGAGACACGCTGGTGACGCGAGTGGAGGTCCTCCAAACCCGCCCTACCGATATATCTGCCTCTACCCCCCCCCATCCACGGGCCACGGCGGCTATCATCACGCGGCTCCGCTGTGTGCCCACATGCTCGGTGTCATGGTATGGGACACAGGGACGAGGCGAGAAAGGAGACGAGGATTGTTTGGGTGCTGCTTGGTCGGCACACGCACTCGGTACTTGGGAGACGTAGTGCTCACCGGCGAGCTGGCGTTCCCCTGACTAAAAACCCACGCAGTCGCTAAAACTCCAGAGCTCTGCGACTTGATGACCACTTTGCTATGCTGGGCTTGTCTAATCAAGTCAACATGATTCCAAAAAGAGTCAAGAAAGACATGGGCAACAGCCCTCTTGGGTCGCTCAAGCAAAGCTTTGTTGTTTTGGGGGAGTGGAGGAGATACACCACCATCCTATTTTCCAACCATCCAGGGTTCTGTGCTTGCCCTGGTGGCGGCGAGCGCAGGACCGAGTATCTCATATTGATGTTTGCTCACTCATGTCAGGCTCTTTCCCGTCGGGCACTGCTCCCTCAAATCATTTGCGCGAGATTTGTGGTCGAATGGTCCCTGTGCATATCTTTCATCGGCATGACTCATTGATCCCCGAGGAGAGTGAGCATCCTAGGATACACGCATCTTCATGAGTGACACCATGCCGATTGATCAGTCACCTGCCTGTCGTTACGCAAACTCTGTGCGGACTCAACAGGACATGCGGACGATTCGGCTTCGATGTTGCCAGGCGAAAGTGGTACGCAACAACGCAGGAGGATTTTTAATAATGGAAGCACCAAGTGCAGTCACAGCGCAGCGCAGGGCTCGGGTTCGGACTCGGCATCAACATCGCCGGTTTGGTTTTCGTTTGTGCTCGTCCTTTTTCTGGAATGATGGAGTGGATCAGAGCTTTACCTGCTGGGGGATGCGGCACTCGTACGAGAAGGGAGCAGTAGACGACCCCTCTCTTCGCGCTCTAACCATAACGAGACACCCTTCTTCCTTTTGATCTGATAGGTGGACAAGGGGAAAGTAGTAGACGAGTGGGCGGTGGACATGTGGGCACAAGGCGGGATGGAGAGATTTGCTGAGCGAGACCCGGTTTTGGGGGCCAGAAAGGGATCATTTGTCTCCGAGCCCTGGGCCACGGGCACGGGCAAGCGTTTAACA